GAAACGTAGAAAAAGTATAGTCTGAAACACATTTGGAATTGTATATATCTATATACAATATATATATGTGTGTATACACACATAATATGTATAATATATATTATATACTATTGGCTCAAAATTTCTCCAGTGTGCCACTTAAAAATTGATGGTCTCATTTTTCATCGATTAATACGGTTTTCAAACGGTTTATGAGTCAACTGTTTAAAAAAAATAGTTTTATTTTTTTTAAAGGTTTGCCCCTAACTAGAGATGTAAAAAAACGGCTTTTTTTCAGATGTGAAAAAAAACATTAAAAAAAATATTTTTTTTTAATGTTTTTTTTTTATTTTTTTGTTTTTTTTTCAAATCCGCTACAATAAAGCATATTCTGTCAATCTTAAAAAATGAAGTAATTTTTCAAAATGAAATTTTGAGTAAAATGTATATTTATAATAAATGTAGAATATATTACATTTTTCATTATTGAAAATTTTGACCGAGACTAAAAAATCTGATTTCTTATTATTAGGTAGTTTCCACATAAGAAACCAATAGCAATGTAAAACTTCTACACTAATGAAAAAATTAAAGGATAAAAATTTTTTGCGATTTTTCGGATAGCTGTATCTTCGTTAAAAATGGTCGAATTGGAGCCGTAAAAAAAACAATTTGAAGCTTGAAGTTTCTAGTTGTGATAGATTTATAAGAAAAACGTGCAACGCTCAATCCTAACGAATACCGTAATATAAAAAATCAAAATTTTTTTGGCTTTCTTTTTTGGTCCACGGAATGTTCTGACTTTGAAAAAAATTTCATACTGAAAAATCATGAAAAAAGTGCTTTTGGTAGCATTTTGAAAAATCAAGCGCTGAATCAAAAATATTATAGGTAGTTACTTTTTTTAGGACCAAATAAAAACAAGCGCGGCCCTTATTGGTCAATTCGGTGGTGGTGGCGCTTGCATAGCGCGTGACTATTTACATTTAGTAAATGTCATTTAGTGGCTAACTTTAGTCCATGAACTGGACTGGAAACATAAAAAATTAGGCAAATGGGACTAATCTTAAAAAAAAACCTGAAAAAAACAAAAAAAAAACGACCGTTTTTTCTCACGTCGCATCTCTACCCCTAACATCAAATTTTGTATCATAAAGTATATTTTCAACGAAAATTTAGATATAAAAAATGTCAACTTTTGATGAACCGTTCGGGAGTAATCAATTTTTGAAAAAAACTTCCACAAAAAATGTAATTATTAATAATTATTGTAAAAATATTTTAGGAAAGTTGTTTTTACCCCTAAACCGATTGAAAACCGATGAAAAATGAGACCATCATTATATTATAATTCCGGGGATAACTAATATAAAAAATCATTTCCAAAAATGGTCTTACAATCGGCATTTTTTAAGTCACGTTTTCGTACTAATCGACTCCAATTTAAGCGGTAATATAATCGATTGTCAAGGAATTCTAATAGCTTGGGTGCAATATTACACACACGTGAAATAGAGAAAAAAATTGTTTGACCCAGTTCGAACACTTTTATAAAAGGGGATCCGATAAATTCTACGAAACAACTAATTTAAATGTTAAAATGAAATATAACATTGCTTCGATTTACATATCTCTCGGTTTTGTGCTTGAGCTGTAAAAGGATCTAAGTGCGATTTATTGCGGCAATTAATTTTGATTGCTTCAATTCGAATACTTATGTTTTCTGATTAATTGGTGCAAATGTTTAAGGCCTGCTTGAAAGATTGTCTAAGTTTGGAATACAAAGAATTTTGCACTTTTGCAGGATTTATTGTATAAGTTTTAATGGAGATTTTTAAAAATACTTAAAAGTAATGCGTTTTGAGAATATAATTCTATATATATTACCAGCAAAAATAACTATATACTCTCTTAAAATGAATTAGTCAAAAATAACTAATTATAAGTCATATTGTCATAATTGTCATAGTGAAAAAGCAGTCACTAATAATTAGTCAAATTCCACTGAATGAAATAGTCAAATTAGTAAATTTAAATTTAAAAAAAGTTTTGACCCAGCCTGGGATTGAACTCAAGTCTGTCACTTGACAAGTTTGTCAAGCTAACGTCTTAAGCGGCTGACAGCCGAATGCGTTAAGACTCTTAACGCATTCGGCTGTCAGCCGCTCTTATAAAAATTAATTTTATTTGTCAATAAATATGGTTCATAATATTTTAAAGTTTAATATATTATTTGTCTTGCTATTTTGAGCTAAACTTTTTGCATCTTTATTTGTTTTATGGGTCATTTAACCATGGAGAGGTATATGCATTTAATTCAAATAATACTTTGTTGTTGGCCGTAAACGACTAAAGAAATTAGTTACTTTTAACTGTCAGAAATAGTCAAATATGGTGACTAATCTTAAATTAGTCAAACTTTAACTATTTACATAGTAAAAAATAACTATTTAAAAGTGAAAACGACTATTTTATTAGTAAAAAATGCTTTTACTAATTCAATTAGTAGAATTTTGACTATTTCATTTTTAGACAGTAGTGCATAAGAATTATGTAATCCAAATGCTACAACCCCAATTTTACAAAAAAAAAAATGTTTTTGATGGTAGAATTTGAAAACCTCATTTCTATAAATAATAATAATTTAGGTGAAATAGGTAAAATAGGTGTTTTTAAAAAATTGCGTTCTCAAAATTAACAAAAATAAAAACGTATTTTATCCGCCGAAAAATCATAGTGCGTTTGGACCAATCACAACATTCTATTTAACCTCTACTTTCCATAATTAAACTTTTCATTTATCATTTAACAAGATGTATGTATGTCATTCGGTTAAGAAGGTCTTTTTAATATAATAACAATAATAATAAAATACTTGTTTAAATAAAAAAAAATAACTCAAGAAAAATAAGGAATACTATAATATCCATAATTTTTAATTCTCAAATAAAATTACATTAAAACCTTAATTTTATGACTTACATAATTACGTAACCCATGAAAATGCTAAATAAATTAATTATCGCTTGTGTGAGTGTTTTTAAATAATTATCAGTCATTTATTAAGGTATTTTTTATTTTTCCATTTCCCACGCTTTGTCACTCACCCACACCGCATCTTCTTTTAAAAACGATTTTCATAGATTTTTTTTGTGTTTTAAAATTCAAATTTTATTCACAGTATTCGGTCATATTTATTAATAAATTTAATTTACCTTGATACGGTAACCGAACAACCTATTTAAATTGCGACTCAAACAACAAATAAATAAGAATATGTAGTAAGATAATAAAATTTTGAAAGTTCTATAAAAATAACACATTTGTCAATAATAAAAGATTGAAATGGTAAATTTGTACTTTTTTTCATCCATGTTAACCTTAGGTGCTTTATTTAAATTGTTTTTGTAACAACTATAATTTAATTTTAAATATTCAGGCTTTTTCAATCTTAAATTTTAAATATTTTTAATATAATTCGAAAAGTACCCTACTAAACAACCTTTTTCATAAAACAACCAGATAATACCCCTTATTATTAATTAGTTACTTGGGAGCCGTCCATAACTCTCGTGACGTCAAAATTGACCCCCTCCCTCTTGACAGAATGTGACGATGTAAAGACCCCCTGAAGGGTCAAGTGACGATTAATCAAACTCCCCTACCACTAAGAATATTTTTTTCGATTTTTTTGTTTGTTATAATCTGACTTAAATGAATCAAATACCTAAGCAAAATCATTCGATTTACTTTGTCACGTAACGTTTTTAATAAACCCTCCCCTTTCGGTGGTGGAAAATCATGACCTTCCTTCAAAGCCCCCTCTTCAGCGTCACGAGGTTTATGGACTGCTCCTTGGGGCCATGACAAAATCGGGAAAAATACTGCGCGTTTAGATTCTGTATCCCACGCATACTTACTAATAAAATTATTATGTTGTACTTGACTCTGCTAAAAATATTTTTATTTACTTTACTTACTTACCTTATGTATTTATTGTTGTTTGTATTGTTGAACATTTAATAGTTAAACAGATTATACCTACTACATAACAAAGCGTTTCCTAGAATTTTTATGGTAAAAACTACTTAACTTAAACTTTTTAATAAATATAATAATAAAAATAGGTAGGTCCATATTTTATGAATTCATAAATAATGAATATTATAAATATTAATTATTTTTTGAACAAACGTTGAAAATACATAGAAAATTATAGATATTTGGAAAATATAAAAAATAATTTAAAAACCCCGAAATAAAATTAAAAAATTAAAATGTATAAAAATATCGGAAATTTGTATCGAAAATGTAAACAAAATATTGAACATTCACAAAAGGTAAAAAATACAAAACAAAAATTTTAAGAATAATGTCAAATTTATATTGAAATTCAATGATGAAACGCAAATGCGAGTTATAATGTTGTTTTTTATATTTTCTAGGATAAATTCAAACAATGTATACCTACTCCTACTTTTCAACAAAAAAATATATATTACACTCACGTAGGCAAACTCATGTGACTTAATACACAATTAAAAATAAAAAACGTATGCAAAAATTTCTAATCTCGCTTAAAATCTCAAGTCACGTTTTGCCTCTTTTAAATAAACTTGAAAACAAAAACTAAAACAATACCGATATTAAATCACCATTACCTACCTACACAAACATTACGTGTCAACTGGTACAAAAATAAAATGAAATAGAAAATGTAATAATTATTGTTAACCGCACTCTATAATAAAAAAAATGGTGAAATGTCTAAAATGTGTTTTATTTCCCTATTCCTATCCCAAGATGCTCTATCCATTTACTGTATTTAACTCGATTTAACTATGGTTAAATCGAGTTAAATATAAGAAAAAAAGTAAGTCTCTTGAATTGTCAGTTATGCCGCAATAACAAATAAAAAAAAATACGAAAAAACTTTTAAAATGTTTGTAAAGGAACGGGATTAATACACATTAAAGGATTCTCCCAATTTAAATATAAAAATCATAAATATCATTACTCACTTTTTGGGGGGGACGTGGGGACGGCAGGCTTGTGTTGGCCCGCACAGGGGCGTCCTATCCTGGAACTTGGGGGCCTAATTCCGGATTTTCCCGATTTGTAAGATTTTATCGAAGAGGTCGATCCGACACTTTCCAATGACGTCGTACTTGCACTTAGTTTGTTCGACATTTTAGGCACTTCGTCGCCGGTGGCGCCGCCACCCGCGGTGGCGGGTTCCTGAGGCACTGGATTGTCTGTCACATTTTCGTTTAAATTTTTATCCGCGGTTTTGGAAGCACCTTGTTCACTCATGTTTTAGTCTTTAATTATTGCTTAGTTTTGTTTAAATAACTTTCATGAAGTTGCTAGCTTAAAATTTATAATGCTTTTAGAAGTATTTTTTAAAAATTAGAGGCAAAAAACCAATTTTTAGTTATTTTTAAGAAAACAAAAATATAAATTGTAATAAATACAAAACAAAATTGACTAAGGAAATATAACAGGATTTCAAAATACTCGGTATAGCACGAAAAGATGACAATTGAAATAATAAATTTACACTATCCACACTTTAAGAATAGTTGAGGACGATAGAAGCCAAGCAATACAAGTGACATTTAAAAAAAAAGTAGTTATGTACAGTAAAAGATAGTAAAATTTACCATTTACTAAGTAAATGGTACATTTTACTTGGTATCCAAGGGATATCTACAACTGAATTCTAAGCTTAGACATCTTGAAAAACAAAGCAATTAATCTATGGTAATAAAACAATAAACAATTTTGACTCCAAATTACACATGTTTTTTTTACTTTAAATATGATTTTCTCAAAACTAAACAAAATGTACTTATACCCCTTGGCTTCTAGGGTCCTCAGTTAAAATCGATTAATAAGTGTTTCAAGTAATTAAAAAAAGAACAAAAAAAGGCACCAACTATCTACCTACCAGCTAAACGAAGCAACTTTAAATAGGTATATATGCTATTGGTTAGATGGATTAAATTCATTAATATTTAGCCAAGAAATTTATGGTGTTTTATTGTACGCCTATTTTCCAAAAACCCTGTAGGTATTAAAACTTTTTTAAAAAATGTTAAAACTTGTTTAAACACCCTTTGTAATTTAAACTAATTAACCAAAATTCAACAAATAAATAAACAATTGGAAGAAATTAAAAGAAAAATTATTGATGAATTATTTAAAAAGAAATAACCCTATTTTTCTAATACCTACCTACCTAATTCTAAAAAAATCTGTTTACTATTTTTAAATTCCTATTTATTTTGCACAAACACTACCAATACTATCGTTTTGCTATTTTTAAACAGGAAATCCAAAAATCATTGGAAATATTCCAAAGAAATGCAAACTCACAACTGACAACATCAACCTTTAAAAATCAAAATCAATCAGAAACATAATAAGATATTTGCTCATTGTCTTTAATAAACGATTCGGAACCAAATTTAATTAAACTGCATTTGATTTATTTCATTAATAGTCCAATAGAAAATATAGAAAATATCATAGGTCATGTTTTATACATCAACAAGCATAGGTATTGCTCATCACTTAGGAATTTTAATTAGAAATTCTGTATACACGTTACAGTTTACGTTCAAATAATACGCAAAATATCTTGAATGCAACATTTAAATCTATACTGTTTACATTTGCCATATAAGGTCGGCTACCTGTTCATAACCTAACTTTATAACGCGTTTAATTATCCGCTATAAATTACTTATATGTGAGCAAATTTCAAAAAAATTAGGATGACATTTCACACTACAAAAAATACAACTCAACATGTACGCAATCTTAATAATTTACTGCCTAATTAGACTTTCATATAAAATCTACTAACAACATCTCCACGCAATTATATAAAGAATTACATGAAATATTAACGATATAAAACACACTTACAGGAAGTAAATTGTTACATAAATTAAAACTTTAACATTTAAAACACAAAACTTCACACTAGCACGATAACAGCTGTAAATTGACAGAAGCGCCAATATTTGACAGACGTTGTAGGTGGCGCCATCTATAGAAATTTGGCGCAAATTCGTTCTGGAAAAGTAGTTTGTTTTATAATGGTTGTGCGTGTTTTCAATGGGGTGATGTGATTTGAAAATGTGGTCTTAGAGACGAAAAAGGGGTTTCAAAATGTAAGTAATGTTTTAGCTTGTATTATGTATATTAGTTTGTATTATGTGTGGTTTTACATATGTTTTAAATGAGTTTTCATATAAGTTAAAACAAAAAACACAAAATTTCGTCATCCTGAATTTAAAAAAAATCATACTTGCCTGTAATTTGATATTCTTAAATACTTAAACATTCATGAGTAAATCTTGGCATTCTAAAATACCTGATTTTACATTATTGAGTTAGACTTAAAAAAATATAGCTTTAGCATTTTTAAACATTCGAAAATGTGTTTTTAAGTATTGCATTTTCACATTCTAAAATGTGTTTGACATTTTAAGAAATGTCAAGCATTCTTAAACATGTTTTAACATTCTAAAATCATATTATGATTTTGATTTAACTTTTTAAAATGTGTTTTATGATAGATAAATTGGTATCTGAAAAAGGATTGTGGTAAAATAATAAGATAGGCCCTTTTTATGTACTTTTTATTTTATATAGCAAAATATCCATAACAAAAATTAAATAAAAGATATGGTATACTAGAAAAACTATTACTCGCTTTAAGTAGTTTAAATAGAGGTAGTTTGAGAAGTAAATAAAGCTATAACATTTGTTGAGAATACTATTTTAAACAGTATTAATTAAGCACCAATTATTTTTTCAGGGTTATTGAATTAAAATTACCGATTAATAAGTAATAGTTTTTCTTGTGACTTGTAGCATTTCTCACAGAAAAATTGATTAAAAAAATAATAATAAAATTGGCTAAACTGATAATCTGTAAGAGTCAGTCGAGGCTACAAAATAATTGATACTTAGGTAGTTTTCCGTAATACACAGCCCGTTTAAGGGAAAAAAAGTTCATGTAGTAAAATCACGCATAAAAAATTAAATGGAAGTGGTCCATTATTGCTGTACTAAATTTTACGAAAAAAAGTTCAATTATCAATAAAAAAAATCCTTAATGTATTACGTCATGTACAGAATTGTTACAATTATAAACTTAGTTCAATAAATAACATTGCATAAACATGGTATACAAAATAATAATAATAATATAATAATAAACGAAATAATAGGAAACTGGTGGTGATAATGAAAAAATGCAAAAATAATTGGTCTAAGAATTCGATAATAAAGATTATTAATGAGAAAAGCAAGTGTCAAGCTTTGCGCTTGCGCAACTTTTCTTGCGCTTGCTTTAATAGCATGTCAAACGAATTATCGCCACCTCTGGCGGATTGCGACGGAAAGCCCTCATCTCTAACGTTATCTGAAATAGATATCATTTAAAATATACAAAATTACTAATTGGTTTTTAAGGTACCTAGTTTAGAGTTACCTACAACATTTTTAAAATTGAATTTTGTTCTTATTATTGTTATGTTTAAAGGCATTTATAGAGGGTGTTTCATATTCATGGTACTTTAGTTATCTATTTGATATTTTAAAAGCGTAATCTTAAGTATATTTTTCTAAAATATTTTAAACAAAATGCAACTTCCGGTGACACAGTGACAAGAAATTTGTTATTTCAAATAGAACACCCCATTTATTTTTAAATTCTGTATAAAATTCTGAGTAAAATTATTATACCATGTCCTATACCAAAAGTGAATAGTTGTCAAGTTATTAATTTTTTTTTTCGTTGAAATTTGACAAAAGTGCGTCAATCATAAATAGCCTATAACTTTTTTATTAGGTTTGCGTATAAGGCGGTGAATTTTTTAAAATCTTAAAATATTGTTTAAAATATTTCTTTTTAATTCTTTAACACTTTTCAACAAATTACCTGAGAAAACACAGGGCAAATTAGGATAACTTAAAAGGTTAATAATTTTATGGTATGGTATGTTTTTACATAGTTAAATAGTAAATTAAAAAACCTTTTGATTAATGTAACTATTCCTTATACCTAAAGTTAATAATTTCAGAGATATTTCTATACTTTTAAATATTATTTAGTATCAAGAAACCTGTGACGGGTAAGTTGACGGTATCTACGGTTACCACGTAATTTGTCATTTTGTAAAATTTAATGGCGTCAATTTTTATTATAAACAATTTCTTGACAAATTAAGCGTTTTGTAAACAATATTACTGATAAAAAAAAGCAGTCAGTGAATTAAAAAAAACATTTACAAGCCAAACATTTAAAAAAAATAAAGTGTTATACAAACAGTATTGAAAAAAAAACTCAACAAAGCTGTAGGATATAGTGCCTTATCTATATAAAAATAAATTGTTCCAGTTACTCATTCTTTTTGTTATTAAAATACACTCACGTGTAAAATAATCGATCCACACAAATTTTCGATGAATTTCAATCGCAAATAACTTTTTTATTTGATGTCGGATTTAAACGAATTTTTTCAAAAGCTATCAAATTGTTTTTTGTAAATTAATGTGTTAATTTTGAGATGTCCTCTTACTTTTAAAAATGTCTCCGACTGATGTTGCCCTTTGTACTTTACTTCTTGTGACGTTTAAAACACTTGCCACGTAATACTGTGACCGTCCATCCTGGATTAAATTAATGACTCTGGCAACATCAGTCAGGGACATATCAATTTTTTAAAGTAAGAAGACACCTCAAAATTTAAACATTAATTTGCAAAAAACAATTTGATAGCTTTTGAAAGCCGTGTATGACATGTCCAAGTATGGGATGATTCAACAAAACTGTCACTGTCATCCTCCTTAGCCTATGGATGGACCATAGCAACCTTAATTCTTCATACAGAAAAATATTGGAAATTGTAATGTTTTTTAAAAAATCCATATTTTCCACAAAAATAAATATATCGAGGTAAACCAAACACAAAACTGTTAAGAATAGATGTGACTTGATAAATAAAACTTAATTTAGAACAATATACGGTTTTGCCACTCTACAGAGTGTCTTAAACTTATGGTAAAAAACATCTTTTTGTTTAAACCTGTATATTATAAACGTACGTCTATTTTTTAGTATTTTTTTAAAATGTGAGCGATTGTCCATTCATTTATCTACAATATTCTTTAATATTCGTTTAAATCCGACATCAATTAAAATAGTTATTTGCGATTGAAATTCATCAAAAATTTGTGTGGATCGATTATTTTGCACGTGAGTGTATTTAATAAAATAAATTTTAAATTTTATGTCTTCAATGAGCTAGTGCTTTATCTAGTTGATATCCCACAGATTTGTTGATTTTTTTTTAAATTAGCAAATACTGTTTGTATAAATTTTAAATTTTTAAAATGTTTGGCTTGTCTATTTATTTATAAGTCGCTGACAGCTATTTTTAATCAGTAATTTTGTTTAGAAAAAACTTAGTTAGTCAACAAATTGTTTAAAACAACCTGAAAAATTGACGCTATTAAATTTTGAACAATGACAGATTATGTGGTAACCATAGATACCGTAAACTCACCCGTCACAGGTTTCTTGATAAAAAATATTTAAAATTTTAGAAATTGTGAAATATCTCTTAAATTAGGTATTAACTTTAAGTATAGGAAATAGTTACATCAATCGAAAGATTTTTTAATTTACTATTGGATTATGTAAAAACGTACCAGTTGGTACATTTAAAATAAAGAAGTTATTAACTTTTGAAGTTTGCCTAATTTGCCCTAGGTTTTCTCAGGTAATTTGTTGAAAAATGTTAAAGAATTGACAAGGAATCTTTAACATTTAAAATAAAAATCTAGAATAAGAATCTTTAACATTTAAAATAAAAAAGTTATTAACTTTTGAAGTTTGCCTAATTTGCCCTAGGTTTTCTCAGGTAATTTGTTGAAAAATGTTAAAGAATTGACAAGGAATCTTTTAAACTATAATTTAAGATTCCAAAAATTCCATCCCCATAGTCGCAAACCTAATAACTATTTGTAAATTAATTAATAACTAAAAAACTATTCACTTTAGGTATAGGACATGGTATAGTAATTGTACTCAAAATTTTATGTAGAATTTAAAAATGTAAAAATATATTGGGTGTTTTGTTTGAAATAACAAAGTTGATGTCACTTCAAGTGACATTTTGTTTAAAATATTTTATAAAAATAGACTTCAATAGATTATAAACGCGTTTCAAATTTTAAATCAATATCTTTTTCAGTTCCCCAGAAACTTCTAATGGACCACGAATGTGAAACACCCTGTATAAAAGATTAAAAAAAGGGGGTTTGCAAGTTTTTTGAATAAGGTCTTTAAACAAAGTTTAGAGATTATTTTACTCAACATGTAGTGCTTGGAGACTGAGGAAATTAGTTATTAGTGTTTGAAATATTTTTAAATATTTTTTGGTTAGCTCAATCCGTTTTGCTACACATTAGCAGACTTTAAAATTCCAATTTCCAATTAAAGAGGTACATAATTTTAAGCAAATGTGGCGCGATCCGAGAAAAGGCAACATTGTTTTGTTTTTTTAACTATAAATACTGGATAACTCGAAAATAACTTTTTTAAAGCATTTAGGTAATATTATGAAAAAATGTTTGATACCCTAAATATCATCAAGTTACAATTTTACTTGATAAGAATTTATTAGAATATCAAATAATTTCCCAGTGCTTTGGAGGTGATATAAAAATTAAATAAAAATACCACTAACGAACACTGGATAAAAAATATATTAATAAAGAAAACTTACCGAGATCTGAATAAGCACTTTGACAAAACAATCTCCTACCCCCAAAACTGATATCGTATTTTGGAAAATACGGTTCATCATTTCCATGTTCTAGAGCTTCATAAGCGTCATATTTGTTTGCAAAAGTAACAAATCCATAGTTATCCCTAAGAAATAAAAGAAGAGATTTTTAATAGGATTAGCAAGATTTTACCTATTCTAAATCCTATTATAAAATTCAATTGATGTATAAAAACAAACCGAGAAACCACTTTTCTGAAAGCCTAGAAAACGGGAAAAAGTATAAAACATATAAAGAAACGTTTTTTAGCTTAAAAAAAGTGGTTACCCTCGACTAAAACCTATCGAAATTGAATTAAATAAAAAGACATTTACAAGCCGTTAACGTGCTCATTTTTTCTGTACCCCTGGTCCCTAAAGTGCAGGCTGACGTTGGTGATGGGACCGAAACGGGCGAAGCGCTTGCGCAAATCCTCTTTGCCGGTCGTGGACGATATGCGACCAACGTAAACGACGCGCCGTTCCTCCACCTCCTTCAAATGCTCCTCGTCGATTTTGCGATTTTTTCGCTTGGACTTTTGCACGGGAGACCGGGAACGGGACCTCGATCTCGACCTCGATCTGGAAGATCCCCTAAAATGGATACATTAGAATAGAGATGGTGGCACTATGAAGCCTGCCTATTAGGTGAAACCCCTAATTTAATTTTCAAATAGTAATATATTACTAATATCCCATCTAACAAAATAAATATATATAGAATATAAATAAATCAAAAGTTGTGCAAATTTAGTAGACGAGTAGAAATTTGCCTTGAGCCCATGATTTTTCATGTTGTCATGAAAATTAAAAATACATATTAATTAATAATCTACTAAGTAATATAAAGTTACCACAAAATATTTTTTTCTATGACCACTATGTAAAAGTCACATTTTGTAAGGGCATCGTTGCTTAGAAAATGAATCTTTTCATTGGCAAGGCAAAACGCGAATGTAAAGTGACATTTCTGTGTGAAAAGTGACATGTCTGTGTGAAAAGTGACAGGTCTGTCAAACACTTTTTAGGTTATTTTTTTTGAAAATAATAAAAAATAAAAGGGTCGTAGAAAAAACATTATGTTTCACTTGTGAGAAAAGCTTTCTTCAAGCTTCACTCGCATGAAAAAGTCTCTTTTCAACACTTGTAAACAAATAACTATTAAAAAAACTTTATTTGTTTATTCACAATGTATGATTAAACAAATCTGTAGCATTTGATTTAAAAATTAATTTATTTTAAACTATTTATAAAAAAATAATCAAAATTTATGAGAATTTTGTTGGCTACTTTTTTATTCTTTTATTCAATTAAATGCCGTTCACTTAACAAAAAAATATTGAAATTGATGTCTTTACTACCAGAAATATCAAGCATTTGGTGAAAAATACTATGCTTGCTCTATGTTTGTCCAATACTGTCCCACAAACAAATGACTCACGACGCGGGCTCGGTTCATTTATTTAATTCAAGAGTAGGTACTTAAAAAAAATTTGGGGATAAAAATATTAAAAAAATACTTTTCTGATGGGGCTTCATCGCAGTATAAAAATAAATTTAATTTTACAAATCTTTTAAAACATCAAGAAGATTTTGGGATTTATTACATAATGAATCTATAGATGATAAAAATATTTTGTGAAGACTTTTCTCAAATGACACAGTTTTTGTTAAAAATGTAATTAGAGGAAAAAATAAGAACTAAGGGCCTGTTTATCAATGTCCAGTTAAAGTTGCAGTTAGTTATCTGGTAGATAATTTCCATGGATACCATTGTTCTTACAAAGATCGATATAGAATTTAACTGTCTGTTAGACTAACTGCAACTTAACCAGACATTGATAAACTGGCCCTTAGATAAGTTTACATCTCTAGGTTTATCTTTATTCTGACGTGTCCATCATTGTTAATTTTGCAAGTTTTTAAAGTAATAAATCTATTTTATTCTTTTTTTATTTTCATTCCATGTCCTGCGTCTTATATAAATAAAACATTGTCAATTATTTTTTTTATGTTAATTATGAACGATATTTTAGTAAATATGGCGTACAAATACTCCCCAACGTGGGGCGGCTCTGAACAATATCATTTATATTTGATCAAATGAGCGATAACAAGATTGTTTTTTTTCTTCTCAGGGAGAACAGGGCCAAATAAGCATTTTTTAAATTAAAACAAATAAAAAGTAGCCAACAAAAATTTTTATTGTTAATTGCATTTATTTTTTACTATTCTCACAAATTGTCATTATTTTCTTTTTAAATAGTTTGCGTAAGAAAATAATTTTTAAATCAAATGCTACAATTTTTTTTAATTAAACATTGTAAATAAACAAATGAAGTTTTTTCAAAAAAAAAAAATATTTGGTAACTTTATACTACTTATTAGGTTATGATTTAATATTAATTTTTAATTTTCACGAAAACGTCAAAAATCATGGGCGAACTTGGCAAATATAAAGGTTACAAAAAAACTGTGGAACAATAAAAAATGTCAGATACTCTTAATATTATTAAACACAGTATTTGCTTAATAAAATTTTTTAGAATATCTAATTATTTTCCAGTGCTTTGGAGGTGATATAAAAATCGATTATAAATACCACTAACGAACACTGGATAAATTATAATTTATTATAAGTAAATGATTATTTACTTATTGCACTTTTGGAAAGTTTAAATGTTTATCACAACATTATTTATATAGATATGTACCAAATTTAAAATTACCTGGATGAACATGAACTGGAAGAAGAGCTAGATCTGGATGAATTGGAGTAGCTCGAAGAAGTGGAAATTTTCCTTTTTCTGTAATTCAACAATAACAACGGTAAAAAAAAAGTCGCACAAAAAACAAGTGGTTGGCTAACCTGCTATAGTGAGTTTCAGCGCGATCCACCGAGCACTCCGAACTGGAACTGGACGTAGAAGAATTCCTTCTTCGATATCTTCTCTGTTTGTTTTGCGCGAGCAAGGAAATGTTCGTCTGTATGCCTATCGAAACGGTTTTCACTTTGCTACCTTCTTTCGGAAGGTACAGAATCGTCTTATCTTCACCGTGCTCCAAAGTTTTAGTTTTGGGCGTAGTGTTGGTGCTAGCTGCTTTAGTGTTGTTTATTATTTTCGGAATATTCTCGATTACCGATGTAATTAGGGAGTTTCTGCTGATTTGGCCGCTGACTTTTTCAAGCAGCGGTTTTATTTTCTCCAGCTGTTGAACTGGAGCTAAAGCATCTGTTTTCCCCTTTTTGAAGTCTTTATCAATTGTAACGAAGTCTGTATTGACGCCTATACTAACGACGGTTTTTTTGACCATGTCTGGAGGGTTTGGAGGTAATACAACTTTGTTTTTCTTCTCTGGAGTCACGTTGTTGTCACTATTATTGTTGTTTGGAGTTGTTGTTTCTGATTTTGGCGCTGCTTTTAGGACTTCCTTCGCCATTCTTTGTAACTTTTCTTGGTGCTTCAAGATTTTAATGTTTTCGTCTTCCGGTATGGGGGAGCTGTAGGCACTGCTTTGCGGCGATCCTCCTTGCGAAATCGTTTTTCTCAGAACACCACCGCGCCGTTTTTTGTAGTCTTCCAAATTTAACTTGCGTTTTGCCGTCTCGTGAATGGTATTCACTTTTAGCAACGACACCATCAATTTACCATCCTCATTCTTAACAATCGGTTGATGTTTAATGTTCACTCTGTCATCCTCCTCGGACGATTCGAAACCGGAATCCTTCTTGGGGTTCTTCGAGTAACCAGTCGGCACCGAACAATAATCGTGATCCAATTTAATCGCGTCCGGCGGTTTTTCCAAGACAATTTTTTTCTGCTCTGCCGTTGGGGCTCTGCCTCTTTTGCTGCGGCTAGGCATGGGCGGGATTAGGGAAATGGGCTTGCGTTTCCCGGACTCTTTTATGCGAGCTATCAACTCTTTCGGCAGCTGATCCAGTATGGCGCTGTTTTGCTTGGGGTCCGTTGATGTGGAGGTAGGCTTCTTGATGGTGTTTGATAAATTTGTGGCGACTGGTTCTTTCTTCACGGGAGACTGCTCTTCTTTAATTACGGTGTCTGTTAATAAACAATAAACACATCGTTTTTGTATAATTGTAAAAGAAATGTGAGTATAAAAAACTGCAGTTTTTGTTGGAATTATAAATTAATATTTAAAATTACAAACCCCAGCAAAACACATGCAACACGTAAGACTAGACTTGAAAATAGACAACGTTCAAAATTTTTTAAAAATAACCGCGTCAATTTCAGAAATTACTAAAAGTAGAACGTTCAACTAATTTCAGTGCACTGATATTTTCTAACATTTGTTTCAAAATAAATCACTGCTAAAAACTTAATTATGTATACCTATTGGAATGTTTCAAAAAAGCGATATTGTCTTTTTATGTAACATGAAAATTGATTATGCTGAAATAAAACTTCAGTAAATTTCCCAACTCTTAATTTCTGTTTTAAGATGTTTGAATATTTTTCATTTAAATAATACAGAAAAGTGATTTTTTTTATTATTTCTTTTTTTTACATACAGTGTGACCCATTTGTTTGCGACTAAACTATAAGTTTAATTTTATTTCAATGTTTTTTCATGGATAACTTGACAGAATACATTTTTGTAGTTATTATTGTGCATTTTTCTACTTAAAATTTTTCAATAAAATTTAGTAAAGGGTGGTGAATCCAGTGCCGTCCTAAGATTTTGTTTAAAAAAATCGCTAATATGAATTCTTAAAAATTTACTCTTAAAAACTGACATAGTAAGTAGGCCTTGTATTTTGTACAAACATGGAGTTTTTTGCTCCAAAAATACAGTTTATCTACACTTAAAAACAAATCCGATTAAAATCGCATAATAAATAAATATTTTACAGAGGTAAGACGCAAACAAATGGGTCACACTGTAAATAACACCGGTTTACAGCCAAAATGTACTTTCGATGCCACTATTTTTTTCTGATGTTTGGCCTGCCAAACCCGAAAATTAAAAAAAAAATTTCATGGCAGGGTTTTCCAAATAAAAACTTTTCTTTGTTTTTTTGAAGGCAGCTGTACTATTTGGGTCATATCTCGAGTTTTAAATGATCAATTGTACTGCAAAAGATGTCAAATTAAACCTAGTTGACATGTCAACAAATCTAACTATAAATGCCCAATTAGTCAATAAGTGCAATCGCCCCAAATATCGAAAAAAAAACAATTTTTTTGACAAAACTTGAATATATATAATTTATATTTATTATAGTGTTTACTATTTTACCAAAAAGAAGCAAAAATCAATAAAATATGCCCATTTCTAAAAACAATCTACAAGGAGTTTACACTTTAATAGTAAAAATGAGGGATTAAAAAAAATGTATGGATAAATAAAAAAGTTTATGTACAGGTAGCAAAATTCAACTTTTTGTTTTGTAGCGTATATTGTAGTTTAATTCATTTAAACGAATTTAATAAATTTTAAGGAAAGAGTCGTTTGTTGTTTATTTATAAATAACTGACGTTTTTTTGTTTAATACATTAAATTTTACATTGTGGTATCGCTACTTTCTTACTTATAAAATTTGATACAATGAATAAAAGAAAACAAGATTTTGAGTGCCAAAATCACCCAGATCGCTACTTTCTTACTTATAAAATTTGATACAATGAATAAAAGAAAACAAGATTTTGAGTGCCAAAATCACCCAGATGATTAACCTAAATTATTTTCAATTTTCAATATGTTAATGATACACAGTTTGTTTCATTTAAAACAGAACACCCTAAATTTCCCGGAAACTAAAAGAATTTTGAAAAAAACGCTGAGACATGTAAAGTTTTATAGGGGGACAACTTTTCATGGCAAAATTTGGTTTCCCACCCTTACCCCCTGTGCCCAGGAGCTTTCCCCTTAAGAATTTGTACATATCTCAAAAATAAACACCGTTGTTTAGGAACTTTAAAGATCTTTAAAATAATGTAATACTCAATACCCCTTCCCTATTTAAATTTTTAAGGGGTTAGCTCCAAATTTTGCAATGAAAAGTTGTCCCCCTCGATATAAAACCTGGCGTTTTTTTTTAAATTCTTTCAGTTTCCTAGAAATTTAGGGCGGTTAGTTTTAAATGGAACACACTGTATTTTAATATTAAAATGTAAACGACATTTATTTAACTGTAAAAAGGTTCCATGATGCACATAGAACCATTTTGTAAAAAACTAAATTTCGGAAAAAAATGGAAATGTTCACTTCTTGCATAGACCCCTTTAATGATCAATAGATTTATTTTGAAAATATCTTGTTTGAACTTCACGAAGATAATTTAAAAATTAACATACTTTGATGATTTTTATTCATACTTGGCAAAGAAAATAATGTCCTAATAATTATTCTTATTTTTGTCCAAAAAAACAGACTTTTTTAATATTTTTTCCCATTGAACTTAAGCTACTTAGCTGATTGGGTACTAAGAAAGTGATATTTGTCGAAGATTCAAATATGTTTAATTTGACACTTTTTGCAACCAGATTGGCCATTTCTAACCTGAGTTATGACCCAAATTATAAAGCTACATTCTTAAAGAACCAAAATATGAAAAAAATGTATCTCGAAACCTTGCCATAATTTTTTTTGTGATTTTTAAGTTTAACAGGTCAAAATACATTAGAAAAAAATAGTGGCATTGAATGTTATTTTATGGAAAGTATTAACATTTTTATGGAATAAAAAAAAATCATTTTTTAAATTTAAAACAATGTCAAATGTTCAAAATATAGTCAAGTAATGAATTTACTTAATCACACATTTTTTAAACATCTTTTAATTTCCCAGTGCTTTGGAGGTGATATAAAAATTAATTAAAAATACCACTAACGAACACTGGATGCTGAAAAATGTAATAAAAAAAGACTTACCATTATTTTCTGCCTTGATGGAAATAGGTTTATTTTGCAAAACCGTATCAGTTTCTTTAGTATCTGTCTTAATGGCAATCGGTTTTATCTGCAGGACCATTTCAGGGTCCTTGACATCTTTACGTTCTTCCATAAAATCTTCAATGGCAGATATTTCGGAAAACCCTTTCTCAAACTTAACCTGGCCCGTATCGTTGTCATCCAATAGACTTTTATTGTTTTCCGGGATTTGCGTCGCCTCGAACTGTTCGAGCAACGATTTCAAATCGACCGCTTCCAAAACCGGAGCAGATTCCTCACCTTCGGAAACCGTTTCTACGTCTACGTCATCTTCCGGATCGACTGTTTCAGTTTTTACCTCCTCATTTTTGATTTCTTCACTTTGATGTTCTTCGTCTTCATCTTCCTCATCGCTTTCCGAAGAAGAATCACTGTCACCGTCGCTTTCATCGTCCTCTTCGACGATGTACCTCTGGGCTTTGAAGTCGATCTTTTTTACTCCGGCGCCAGGTTTTTTCTGTGCAATAATAGGCTGTTTCGTTTCAAAATTTTCGTCTTTAGCGGCGCTTTGCGGAGTTTCGTTAATGTACTCAGTTATGTCAAAGTTGGTTGGCGGAGTTACGTCGAAAATATCGACTGGATTGGTCTCGAGAAGGTCTCCGTTCTCGATACTTATCGTACCGTCCAGTACGAACTCTTCATGGCCGTTCTAAAATGTCACGTTTTATTGAAGAGTCCCAACAAGATTATATAATATAATATTTGTTTTTTTAATAATTACACAAGCCGACAAAAATAAAATTTCTGTTTGGTGCATGGCAACCAACAACTTTTTAAGGGTAATTTAGGTACGCTGAATCCAAAAATGAACATCATTTTGCTCCATCAGCTATTGTTTTTGCGATGTAGAATAAAAACCATTTCAAACTCTTATATATATTTTTTTAAACTTCTAATTTAAGCAAGGATAGTTGGGAATGTTGCTATGGGTCTTTATTAAACTAAAAAAAATACCATATACATTGATAATGGTATTCGCTTTAAAACTCTTGCTTTCATCGAAAGAAAATAGCCAAAATTCTGATATTTTTAAAATTCAAAGTGATACAGCATGATCAATTTTTGCCCGATTTAAATAAAATTTACCCCATTTGTAGCTCTATTTATCTACTTTATAGTGTTACAATTTCAATGCAATCAAAAATTGAATGAGAGTAGTGCTGCCGTGCTAAGCTAAACTCCAGTATCTGCAATATTAAATAAAAGATCATTTTCATTGTTAAAAACAATAAAAAGTATTTTTTGTCCTTTATTATTTAATATTGCAGATACGGGGGTTTACTTTAGCACGGCAGAGTGTATGATAGTAGAGTATTGAGAGCAGCAGCAGATACTCTACTCATACTCTCCTACACTAAAACTAATAGAAAAAAAACAATAATATTTTTGACATTTTATTAGACATACCTACTTAAAATCAGGTCTAAAATCTTAGGCACAAAAATTGTCCACTTAAATAGGCTCTGTGAATATTAAAGCTATTCACGGAGTTTATTTAAGTGGTACACGCAGTACCCAATTTTATTGTCATGTTGCCAATTTTTATTTGATTGCATTGAAATTTTATCACAATAAAGTAGATAAATAGTGTAAATTTTATTTAAATCGGGCAAAAATTGATCACTTTGAATTTTAAAAATTTCCGAATTTTGGCTAAAAAATCGATTTTCTTTCGATGAAAGCAAGATTTTTAAAGAGAATACAATTATCAATGTATATGGTATTTTTTTTAGTTTAATAAAGACCCATAGCAACATTACCAACTATCCTTGCTTAAATTAGAAGTTAAAAAAAAATATATTTAAGCATTTGAATGTGCGCATATAAAAAAAATGGTTTTTTTTTCTACATCGCAAAAACAAAAGCTGATTGAGCAAAATGATGGTCATTTTTGGATTCGGCGTACTCAAATTACCCTAAAAAAGTTGTTGTCTACCCTGCACCAAAATGGCCGTCGGGCAGTGTTATTGAAGCCCCTTTTTTATAACAATTATTGTTCATTAATTTTTGTGAAGGTAGGGATATATTTTAGCAAAATGTTGTGATTATAAGAAATTTAAATACATTTAAATCTACCTAGGTATACCCACAAAAAAGTAAAATGTGTTCCGAGAAAAAACACCTCAATCATTTACCTTTAACTTTAAATTAACTTTCCTTAAAAATGTTCTATTGAGTTAAAACCTTTTTCATCAAGGGCTTCATTTCTAAATTGTTGTTTTATCATTTAATTTCCCTTTAACGGTAATACTATCAAAAACAAATCATTACACTTACTCATACTCATAGTATTATGCTTGATTGCATTATTCAAAAGTAAATATTGTTTAAAACCACATTAAACATATTTATCACATTTTTTTTAATAATTTAACATCTGTGGAGAAGCCTTATCAAGACAACCTTATTTATAAAAACCTTGAATATAAAATTTATATCATCTTCTGATTATTTATTAGATTAGTTGGGATTTCGAAATAGAATCTTTAAGGGTATGCTAAATATTGTACAGTGTGACTAATGTTTTAGTGTGAAAAGCTTAAATATTTTTATTATTAGTTTACCTGTTATTGGCCTGAAGTATCATAAATAGACCAAAGAAATTTTATCAGGTAGTAAAGTATATAAATAATTATACTGATAACAGCGAAAAAGTTGCCGATTTTCTTATTTACATTCTTAAATTTCATTTTAATTTTCTAAACTGTGTTTTTATATTCTTAAGTTCAAAATAATTTTTTGTCATTCTTAACAATATTAAATATGAATTAGATATTAGAAAATGTGTTTTAAACATTTCTAAAGTTTGTGTACCTTTTTGTATGTACCTATACCAGTGTTATTTACGCGGGAAAAAATGATACAAAATGCAAATTACATAATAATTTGTACACGTGTTTGCCACATGCCAAAATAAAAATATCTTAAATTTAACAAATGGTTATATTTTATCTGCATTTGATAATTATGTAAATAAGCCTTGATTTTATGTTAATATTAATACTGCAAAAGATAAATTAACAATTTTTTTTTAATTATTTAAAAAAAAAAATTGTATGTACCTCTATACTCATGTATTGGTGCCAATCATTCATTAATAATTCCTTAATGTTTGGGGAAGTGCTCATATTGTTTAAGGAATCATATAAATTACTCGACATTGGAATCAGGGCCAAATCTCCATTAATTCTATAATTAATTAATGTAAATTAGGTATGAAAAATCGTCTATTGAATAAATTAACTTACTCAATTTCAGCATCAAGTTCCCAAAAATCAGAATTTTGCTCATTGTGCAAGCTGCTTGAAGTGTTCGTATAATCATCCTATAATGTTGAATTTTGTTAGATTTAAGGGGGAACACAATGTGATTGCCAACAAATTGCTTACTTTTCTATGATATAAGGATCAACTGAATGTAATTTTTAAATTATTTTTTTTTATTTTACAATAACAAAGTCGGCTTTGAATTCCTAATATTCGATAAAAAGCTATATTTAAAGTAAATTTAATCATGTTTGTCCCCGATCCTTATATCATGACTTTTTCCCAAAAAAGCAACGTTTTGGGCTGTCACAATATTGACTTAAGTGTTTTAATATTGTGTATTACCAATGAGTCGAACGTTGGGAAACGCTCCTCATCCCTGAATAACCCCATGTCCATTTTGGCGCCCAACACACACGGAAAACAAGGTTAATCAATTACACAAACAAACACCACCTGAAACATAACAGAACTGTTACTCCTCGCCACCGAACACACCACCCAACACTCTGAATCGCCGTAAAACAGGTAATTTTTACGTAATACGGGGCTTTTATTAGACGAACATGCTTGTATAGGTTATGTTTTGAAGGTGTGCATATTTACGGTAATTGCGCTCTATTTACGCAGCGGGCTTCAATGAATTTTTTCACAATCGTCGGACAAGGGTTGCAATTACTTGATTATCGCGCGAAATCTTCCTTTTTTCACTTACTTTCCATATATTTTGAAACTAAACTTATTATTATCACACGTGAATCAACTACCTCTCAACATCTAAACAGCGCGTGCGCGACCAATAAAAAACGTGCATTTTGTCGGTAAGGAAGGTTTTTCCGTTACCCGGTAATTATTTTATTGGCATTTAAGTTGCGTAAAAGCCTAATAGATGGCAGCAGCTGCACACAATTTTCAAAGTATATGACAATTTTCAAATAGGTACTTAGTATAGGTACCTATGACAATTTTTTGGTTTTAACTTTGTTTTTATATAAACAAAAAATGCTACTTTTTTGACACAGAAAGTCTTTTCGCGTGTTTTTGTGCGAAATCCATGGGTTTATGGACTTTTACTAGCACGATTTCAGATTTCTTAATTAATTTTTTAATGGTGTATGTTATTTTTCATATTTTTGTATGTTATTCTTATTTTACTAATTTTTATTATATATACAGGGTGTTTCACATTCGTGATCCATTGGATGTTTCTGGGAAACATAAAAAGATATCGATTTGAAATTTTAAACTCGTTTATAATTATAATCCATTTGAGTCTATTTTTCTAAAATATTTTAAACAAAATGACACTTCCGGTTGGACCGGAAGTGACATCACCTAAGTTTTTTCAAATATAACACCCCATATATTTTTACATTTTTAAATTCTACATAAAATTCTGAGTAAAATTACTATTCCATGGCCTAGAGTGAATAGTTTTCGTGTTATTATTTTTTGGAATCTTAAAACATTGTTCAAAAGATTCCATGTCAATTCTTTAATATTTTTCAACAAAATACCCGAGAAAATCCGGGGCAAATTGGGTTAACTTGAAACGTTAATAACTATTTTATTTTAAATGTATCTCCCGGTATTTTTTACCTAATCAAATAGCAAATTAAAAAACCTTATATCTCCGAAATTATTAAATTTAGGTATAGGGAATGGTTACATTAATCGAAATGTTTGTTAATTTTCTATTTGATTATGTAAAATCATACAGGGTGTTTGAATATAAACAATGTTTTAAGATTCCAAAAATTCCACCCCCATTTCCGTAAACCTAATAGGAAAAAAGTTATAGACAATTTTTGATTGACGAGCATTTGTCAAATTTGAACAAAAAAAAGTAATAGCTCGAAAACTATTTACTTTATGTACAGGGTGTCCCAAATTGGTTGTCCGTATAGGCTATCTCAGTAAATATAAATGCTAGAAAAAATTCGACCACGCATCCCCGTCGTCTTTTTTAAAGATACATCGGATGATGTCTTTGAATTTTCTCGATTTGCATTTGTTTAGGAGATATATATATATATATTAGGGTGCTTTTTTTTCACGACTATTTTTATTTTTTCGCTCCCAACTCAAAATCTTGTTGAAAATGTTCAAAAAAAAAATTCCCTGAAAATTTGAGCCCTTAATATTAACTCAAAGTACTCGACCAAAGCGTATAAAGATTTCCCATTTAAAATACACGTTAACTTTGAATATTTTTTTTTAAATATCTATATCTCAGCCGCATTTTATGCTATTGAATTGTTTCAAAAAAGGATTTACTCGTAATCAAAAGTTCTATAAAAATGCTTTATGTGCATAGCTGTAATCTGCACATGTAGGATGGTACGGGTCACTAAATCTTATTTTAGTGAAAAATTCTCACATTTTTGAAGATATTTCAAAAGTGACTGGATTCTTTGAAAAAATGTAAAGAACAAACTTGTAGAAAATTTAATTTTCTTTAAAAAAGGTCTTATCAGTTGAATCGCTAAGATTGATATTTGTTGAGATATAAAGCGTTTGCATTGACATTTTATGAAATTTTCAGGATTTTCGTTCCAAACTTTTTATAAATGATGATTTTCAATTGTTTATCAGTTTACCCGTACCATCCTACATGTGCAGATTACAGCTATGGCACATAAAGCATTTTTATAGAACTTTTGATTACGTATTTTAAATGGGAAATCTTTATACGCTTTGGTCGAGTTAATATTAAGGGCTCAAATTTTCAGGGAATTTTTTTTTGAACATTTTCAACAAGATTTTGAGTTGGGAGCGAAAAAATAAAAATAGTCGTGAAAAAAAAAAGCACGCTAATATATATATAATTTTTGCCAATTTTGACAAATGCTTGTAGCTTCGTTAATATTTGAGTTACGAATACAGGTTAAATTTAAAATATTAGGCACTTTTTTATCACAGAATTCATTAGTGTAGACAGATTTTTTTTAGCTCTTTTCGGTAAGAGATATGACCCTATACGGACAACCAATTTGGGACAACCCTGTATAGGATATAGTAATTTTTACTCAAAATTTTATGTAGAATTTAAAAATGTAATAATATATGGGGTGTTCTATTTGAAATAACAAAGTTGATATCACTTCAGAAAAATAGGCTTAACCTTCCGGCGGGCGCAACCGATCTAAGAGATACACCAGTTAAAATATTGCACCCGGACGCACTGTTTTTATAGGCATAACTACCCACCTTTAGTAGCTTCATATTTTTAGGACTTCTACCGATATGTCTACTGCAGTTTGTGTTTGATCGCCTTGTAAGGTGACGGCAGGCATTTTGATCTGCTAGATACAGTGCGCCCGATTGCGTTATACTGCAGTATTACATGTAATATTTACAAAATTTTAACTTTTTATGAACGAAAGTATTGATTTATAACTTTTTGTATGCATTTTTACTTAAATTTATAATATGATAGTTCAGCAAGAAGAATGTACTTCAGAATCGGGTATTAGAACGGCTTTCTAAATAAAGTGCAAAAAATTAGTTATATTTGATTTTATTTGCGCATTTTATTTATGTATAGTATTTAATAAGTTAGTATATAGTATTATAAAAAGTAGTGTTAATTATTTATTTGATAAAAAATATAAAAAAGCACTTTACTAAGCCTATCTGAACATTGAATCTGTCAGATCACTGCGCCCTAACTCGTGCACAAAAGACGTGCGCCCGCCGGAAGGTTAATTGAATTATAACCGCTTTAAACGTGAAACACCCTGTATTTTTTTGACTAATTACCTACGATAATTATATGTTAATAAATGAACAAATGTATTTTTTAAGGGTACCAATATTTTTTTGAAATAAAACATTTTTTTTACTTTTAAAAATTTATTATTAATTTTTAAACCACTTAACAATATTTTTTTATATGACTACCAAAAAATTAATACAAAAAACACTGGTCAACAACACTGGTTAATTTTTTCTAAAATATATAAAAACAATATCGTTTAGGAACTTTATTTTTTTTTAGAAACGACATTCAAAAAATTGTTCCAAAAATATACGAGTATAAATTTTATACAACTTTAAACCATAAATATCTACAACATACCTTAAAATGTACAATTATACACTTAATTCGTTTAATTTAAAATGTACAACCTTCCCTAAACTACTCAAGAGCTAATATCATCAATTTTGTGATTTAAATATGGCTCGAATTGTTCAATTTATTAATATCTACAGCATTGAAAAACAACGCAAAAAAGTCTGTTCTCAAAAGAAATTAACCTCTACGCATTTTAAGTATTAACATACTGGTACTCAAGAAAATAAAGATCCAAACTACAGTCGAAATAAATCCTTGGTAAACAGTTGGTTCCATAATACCCCAATCCTTCGCCAAAATGCATCTCAAAGCATTTGTGGCCATAGTTAAGGGCAGCAACTCTGATACTTTGATGAGAAGATAAGGCATTCCCTCCAGAGGCCAAAGAATTCCACTGAGAAGCAAAGTGGGGTAAAAACTGCCCAAAGGACAGTTGAATTGCGTTCCTCTCCAGGTCGCAAACAGCTGAAATCACGAAGCCAAAGCACATCCCACTCAAACCGTTCAACATCGATAGCAGAAACACCAAAAACATGTTCCCCTTGCATTCCAAATCGAATACATAGAACATCGCAAATAGAACTAGAAATGTTTGTCCAAACATCACCACGAACTGGGTCAGGACGTGGGAAAATAGCACTTCCCATGGGTAGACACCTAGAAAAAATTATTTTGAAAACTTGAAAGATAGAGTGAAAATAAACGTACCTGCAACCCATGCTCTGTCCAACAAACCATCATGTCTTTCTGTTATCAAGGCTGAGGACGTCAAAGCCAAGGCCAAAAAGAATACCACACTGTCAAAAAAATTAAATTAACATCAAATGTTGAATTATTTACTCAAAATCCTCTTTCAAGCAGTTTATAAGGTAAAGGGTTTACCAATAAAGACGTCCAAACTTTTAGAACTCACGGCGATGTTTAAAAATGCATCACCATTTTATAATCTGTGGCTGAATTTGCAAAATAAGATGATAGTATACTATGTTAGTAGTGTGGTGTAGAATAATATTAAGATTCTGTTGATTTGATTGCTAGTAAAAAAATGGACAAATCTTATTTTGTAAATTCACTATATCCCGTAACCGGTACTGTGGTGTCTGGGAGACACTCATCAACGAACAAAGCCCTGTCCCACCCTCACCTTTTGTTTTAAAAATCTGTCGCTTCCAATACTTTTAAGTTGAGCAGTTATAAATATGCTTTCAAACTTTGAACAAGTTGTCAAACGGACAAATTATTACAAGTCAAAGTGTCAAGGTGTCTAGTAGACAACTGCGTACCGTTTACGTAATTTTTATAAAACAATTAATTCGTTATGGATTCGCAACAAGGGCCTTCTAAAAGTGTCCAAAGTATTTAAGTGATAGAAGGGCTTTAAGGAAACTGTAATGTAGTGGTTTTATGAAATCTACAGCGATATAAGTGATATAGATGACTGTAGTATACTACATAACCATTATAGTGATTATGTCGAAGATAATCACAGCAGCGATTCAGGACTTGTCTGTGAATAGTCTATAGAAAATAATTTTATAGGGTCAGATAGTGAAGAATTTTAAATTTTTTAAGAATTTGAAAAAAAACAAAAAAGTTACTATGGAAAAAATAATTGTAAAAATTAGCTATAGTTTGAAGCAGTTATTTTTGCTGTTAAAAAAAGGTATATTTAATTTTTTTTTGTTTATGATATTTTTTAAGGTATATTTTTCGAAATAAAGATCGTTTTATTTTGTTTGGTTTAATATTTTTTATAGTTTAATCACAAAGTTTGCACTACTGCACTTTTTGTACATGTTTTGATTAAAACCTATTTGTTTAAATTTTTCTTTTATTCAGGTATTATTTTTGGTGATATTCTAACTTTATATATATTTCCTAGTATCCCCAAAGCCTCAGATAAAAAAAAATAATATAAATTATAATTTTAAAAGGCAGGTGTCTCTCAGACCCCTTAGTACCGTTTATGACCTGAAAGTTGTACAGTACCGGTTACGGGATATAGTACTATAGTACTATAGTAAGTCTTATAGTCTGGCAAACGTTAAGCACAATCTAGTTATTTGAAGTTCAGATAACCTTATTGGTAAATCTTGTACAAGTCGAAGATGAAACATTTAAAAGTTAAAAACCCTAAAGGTCTACAGTTACAATACTTACGGATCCCCTATACTTACGTTAAAATAATTCCTGGTGCCACAAAGTCTCTAAAGTAAGGTTTCTCGTTTCCATAGATGGGATCTTTAAAGGATACAGGCGGATCGACTATGTCAACATTTGAGCCACAAGCCCCCAAAACTTCTTTGAAAAACGCCTGGAAAGCCAAGCCAATATCTCGTTGCAAAATGACCCCGATTTGTTGATCTGCAATTTGGTATTTTACGTTTTTTATTTAAAGAGATTACTGGAGTTTCATTTTTGGCTACAAACCTTAGATAACACGTAACACTGTGTGTGAAGTTTTTGAGTGATAAACAACTTTCAAGGCATGTTTAAGTCCAGAGAAAAATTAATAGTTGACCATATTCTCCAGAAAAATCATGACATGAGAGTTGTTGATCACTCGTGGAAATCTTCCCACAAAGGTTGTGAGAAAATTTCCCAATTAATTTAGTGTAACAGATCACAGAAGAAAATAGAACAAACTTTTATTTACATTCCATTTCCAAAATTAGTATTCGCTTAGTGCAAAGGCAAAGTGCAGGTCTTTGTTAGTAGTAGTAAAAATAAAATAAAGAAATTAAGTCGGTTTTATGGTTGTTTTATTTCTAATCTACTAATAATAATAATAATAACAAAACATACATCACTAAACCAACTATTAACAATAAAAAATAATAATTTGAGCACTGAAGTGTATGTCTCTAAAAATAATAATAAGACAGTTTTTTGTAGTGATGAGCAATGGAAGGTTAAAGATTTGCTTTCAATAAAATATGCTTATCACTAGTTCTTCTTTTTAACGGAAAAATGTTTTCCTGTTGACTTGTCTTCCAGTCTCTCCTAGGTCAGATTTTTTATTTGTTGCTAATGAGACATATAAAAGTATAAAGTTAACCTTAAAACTAAACAAATAATGATATACAAAATGCGGCAAGTTTTATAAATAACTAATTTAAACTGGTGAACAATTTCGTGCATAAACCCCCAAAGTAAAATCAACCCCTTTTAAACTTTAAGACGCACAAACTTATCGTCAAGAATAATGCAATCCAAGCGATTGTGGAAAGAAAACCATAATAAACAATCGGTTGGGTTATAGGCCACCCTCTCGTCATCATAGCTCTTAGAGATGACGTGGCTAACGTCAAAGGCAAGAACGTGGCGATCGCTCTAAGAACCATGGGCATTCCTTCAATCGGCCAAATAATACCGCTCAACAACAAAGTGGGGTAAAAACTACCCAGCGCCATTTGAATTGCGTTTCGCTCCAACTCGCAAATCGCCGATATCACGAAACCGAAACACATCCCGCAGAGACCTTGAAGGATTGTCAGGATTATAACGAGGATCAAGTCGCCTTTGTTTTCCACGTTAAAAACAAGGATCATGAATATCAGGACTAATGCTGTTTGACCGCACATTACCACGAATTGGGTTACCACGTGGGAGAAGAGAATTTCTCCTGGCGATACACCTGAAAAATATAATGTAAGTTAAACAGTTATTAGAGGTATCTGTATTAAAATTTAAACTCTTTACCTCATTGGTTCACAAAAAAAATCGTGCCAGAGTTTATTTTGATAAGATAGTACACAGCAAGCGAAAAATATAGAACTGTATAATATATATATAATATATGTATAATATATATATACAGTGTATATATATAGGATGACTCCCCGGTTGAATACTAAATCTTAAAGTTTTATTAGGACTGTATTTTTTATATTTTTCGGCTCTATACCTATGCACGACTATATTTAAAGTCAAACTCAATGGTGTCTTACAAGATTTTCTATATTCAACAGAGAGGTAGAAACTCGAGCCTGTCGAATGGTGCAGTCATTTATGTCTCTAGAAATTATTGAAAAAGGGTTCAGTCCAATGGTGGATTTCTATTCTCTTCAGAGACATAGAAACTCAAGCTTTTCGAATTTTACTGGCAATGACTTCCGTTAATGTCCCCGAGAATTATACAAAAACAGCGCAATGCAATATCGCAACGGTTTCGACTTCTCCTTACTCTATCAAGTTATAGAAACTGGAGTCTCTCTAATACTGTTCTAGTCAATATTTCTGAGAATATAAAAAGAGGGTGTAATTCAATATTGCAAAGTTTTGATGTTTTAATGGATGCAAGTATGCTATAGTTTGAATATTCTCATTTCTGCATATGATTTTGTTGAAAGTAGTTCCTTTCTTTGGTTCCTTTGTCTGATTTTTATTTACCGTAACAACTCAAGTATGTAAAGCACAGAGGATATGATGTAAAGTATATTTATGTATTATATAAAGTACCTATATTTGTATTAAAAATTTCAAAGGTTATGTTGAAAAAATGATCGATATGCTATTAAACTTTAATAATTTAGCAATGAGGTCTGTTGGTAGACCCTGCACATCTTCGCTGGTAGTGTTATGTTAGTTCAGCAATATTTAAATCTGGTTGATCAAAAAGTACACACCAGTGCAGGTTATTGTAGCATCTACGAACAAATGAATTATTGGCCCATTGGCAATTATTCCTATTTTCATATTAATACTAGTTCAAAAGTCAAATTTCGACCTCTATACTGTGGAGAGTATTGAAAAGCTCGATTGACGAATACAACTCTGTACCGTGGCGAGGGTTTAGAAAACTGTATTCAAACGTGGCGTCATACAATACACTTCCATATTTACAAAACAAAATACAAAGTGCTTAAAGTACTTTTCTCTAACGATGTTGGCATCTTTAGAAGCAGTTACACTTTGCTTCTGAAGATGCCAAAATCGTTGGCGAAAAGTACTTTAAGCATTTTGTTTTGGAGTTGGGGAATAGTTTTTCAATTGCTATGGGGTTTTTATTCACCATAGATGCTGAATGGGGAGCCGAGTCCCAACAATTGGTAACATTTGATGAAGAAATGCGAATTTTGGTGAGCAAGTCAGAAAGAGAGTTGGCCTTATTTGTAGAAGATCTGTTTAAATTGTAAACTAATGATAAGAGTTTAAACCTTGCATAGATATCCATGATAAGTTTCTCTTTTAAGTCAATTTTAAATCTTACATACCTGCTACCCATGATCTGTCTAGTAATCCTTCCATCCTTTCGATAATCAGAGCTGAAGACGTCAAGGCCACTGCCAAGAAGAAAACGATCCTAAAAAAATGGGTCAGTAAAGTTGCAAAGCCTCGACCACAACCAACTTACGTTAGAATAATACCAGGTGCCACGAAATTCGTGAACGAAGGCTGATTGGTTCCATAGATGGGCTCTTTGAACGATATAGGTATCTCGGCAAGGTCCGGATTGTTTCCGCAAGAGTTAAGCAAGTCTTTAGTGAAATTTTGATAACCTAATTGCAGATCCCTTTGCAGAATGACGCCAATCTGTTGATCTATTCATAGTTCGTTAATGTTATGTGTGGCACGATATGTTTGGAAATAATTATTATTATGTAAGCCTTCACCCGCTAAGGATTTACTTACTAGCTCTTTTACGTGTAAGTTGATTAATCTAGCTATATATACAGCGCGTTCAATTCTACCATGTTATGTGATTTAGTCCTGGGTTCTATATACAATGTGTTACATAGGGGTTGTTTTTTATGTTTGTGTGTCAATTGGCGTTCATGATTAGTTTCAAATGGGCACTGCATTTAGTTCAAAATTATTTTTTTATGTGTATTATTTATTATACATTGTGGTGTTTAAGGGTTGAGGGTTTATTATGTACAATTGCCTTTGAAATCGAGGATTGATAAAATTTGGTACAGGTTGTTAAAACCAATTATGATAAAATTTGGTTATTTAGTTTTATCGATTTCTTGCAATAAGTACCTAACCCTTCATAAAAATTGGTAAATCATTTTCCAACATTTCATGGACTTTTTATATACATAACAAGTTTTTTTGTACAGTGGATATGGGTTAGGTTTTTGGTAGGTAAACTCTGTATTTGAGTGGTGGACTTTTGGTCCATTTTCCAAAAAAAAACTTAACGTAGATTACACATACTTACCTTTCTATATACAATACAAAATATGCACAAAACTGGAAAATAAATAGATAACGACAAGGTGTGTTTTCAATTAAAAAACCTTTATTGCTGTGAGTAAATATGATTAAATTAATTAAAATTTTATTGTGAGATCTTGACATAAATAGCAAAATCAAAAGACGATACAATATGCAAATATCATTATTATTTATCATTTATTTAATATATAAATGCATTCGAAGGTCGAAAACGAAAAAACAAAAAACAGTGAAAGTTAATTTTTTTCATATTAGGATCTTTTACAGATTATTTCATAACGATTCAAACAACTTTCGCTTACGTAGGTACGTACCTATGTATTTTAATTTATACTTTAATTATGAGCATTTTCCCATCGTTATGTATGGAATTATTATACAAATATGTGCGTTATAAAAATTAAACGAAAGCTGGCTAATTAGTATTAAATAATAATCAATTTATGTTCAGTTTAGAGTACAAATATAATTTAGAAAATCTACATGTATGTATGTTAAGGTTAAAGTTATGTTGACCACGTCCGCAAATGTTAAATTTTATACGATTAACATTCAAAAACACAAATTAAGTTCTTAGTACACTTAACACTCAGATTTATTCAAAAGTGTTTTTAAAGTGTTCAACATCAATATTAGTCACAATATTTTCGAAGTTTCCTTAAAACTATTATTATTGTTTACATTTAGGTTTCTTCGCAACAACAAACTTATTTAGTTAGACAAAAACAAGATATTTTAATTGAAAACCAAAACCTGTTCACATTAAAATTACAAAACACACAAACATTTTGTGCAAACATTGACAAAAACAGTTATGTGCATAAAACAAACAAATAAACAAAAGTTTTGAACATTGAGACATTGAAATATAAAAATATTGGAAAATGAACACAAACAACAGGTAGGTGCTCATATGAAATATATGAACGGTGAAAACATATATTTAAAGCGTATGATTTACTTATGTAATAGGAAAAACCATTTGGTGATACCCTTTTTGTATGAGGATTTATTTTTTAGTATACTAGATGCTTTTATTTTAAAAACCATATTGGCTTTGCTGCTTCAGTTCTGCTCTCTTAAAATGAATTAGTCATAAATGATTAATTGTCAAACCGAAAAAGCAGTCACTAATAATTCTAGTCAACAGCAATTTGTATCTCGGACATTTAGCGGTCAATTTATATGTAAAATTGTCCGCTGAATTCGAAAATGTCATCAAAAATTATAAAAGTAAAACACTTTTTAAGATATCATTAATTTTCCATGTAATATGGAATTGACTATATCCCAAAAACTGCTTTACTTTAATAACTTTTGACCATATTTTCGGATTCAGCGGACAATTTTACATAAAAATTGACTGCTAAATATCCTGTATACAAATTGATGTGGACTACAGTTTTTAGTGGCTGCCTTTTCGCTTTAACAATTACTCATTTTTGACTAATTCATTTTAAAAGAGTGGTCATTATCATTTTAGCTTGTCTTCATTATAGTTTATGGTCATTATAGCTTATTATCATTTTAGCCTGTCCATTTAGGATGTTCGTTATTTTGTCTTGTCATCATTTTTGATTGTCTTTAATTTAGATTTAAATTGAAGACAAGCTAAAATGGTGAATGGAGAGCTTGTATTAAAAAGTGGTAACCAACAAACCAATATCGTTTCTCAAATCAGAACATTAGATATACTCATCTTAAACTCCAATGTTATTTATAATTTAGTTAGTGAATGTATTTTAGTAAGCTTTAGCACAGAGGAAAACCTTTACCAATTAGTATTAGTTAGTGTTAGTAGGTTAAGTCAAAAATGTTATGTTCTACTTGTTGTGATATTTACCCAAATTTGGTACTTACTCGACATGTCCAACCAGACTCGTATTTCACTTTGGTCCAGCGTTTCTTCGTCAGTATCTTTTCCCAAGGCCATTCGAGCAACCAAGGCATCAGTGAAATTTTCGGTAAAGTACAAAGCCCCCCAGGCATCTCCTCTTCTAACGGCTTCTTTGGCCATCATGGGGTCTCGATAGTACTCCTTCACCATAGTGCTCGTATTCAGTGCGTCCAGATATCGACAACTCATGTGCGTTAGAGAACAGTTCCTGAAGAAATCGCAGTGTTGGTAGGTTTGGTTCGTGTACGGGACTTCGTGGTTGACGATGGCCAGTTTGAGGCCCTTGGGGTCGCCGCCGATGGCCAGGCAGAAGAGGATGACCTGCATGACGGGGAGAGCGAAGATGAAGAGCATGACGCCCACGTTACGCCACATGCGGAGGAAGTTCTTTTGGAGGAGAGCGCGGATTTTTCCGCGCGTCGTCCATTCGGTGCAGGAGCCGCAGTCGTCGCACGCGTCTGTTATGCTGCGGGACGATGACGGTTTCCCCTTCTGAAAGAAAAATAAAAAAAAACATTAAAATTTTAATAATTACCCGAATTTACTTTACTACAAAAATATTCAAAGTCATATTAACTTAATTGCTAGAAAAGAACAATAGAAAACGTCTTACACAAAACGTAGACAATGAAACGCTTGGGCTATACATTAACCAGAATAGAATTTGCATTACATTACTTTGGTTATAAACATTAAAAACAAAACAAAAATCGAAACCATCGAAAACTATCTATCGATAGTGCTCGAACTCTAGACTGAATAAATGGTTTCGCACAGTGGGGCAAACATTTGCATACAGCAGTTTCCAATTTTTGGCATACCCTGACACAGATGAACAGAAAGTTCTAGAGGACCAGCAAGGATAGGTTGGGTTGGGTGAGGATGGGTCATAGCAGCGTACTAACCAACCAAGCCCCATTCAAATATCCCAATTGAATGGGGGTATTACAAAATCCCTGGCTGCCGGGGTTTCCGATACTTAGTTTTAGATCAAGTTTAATATCCCAAGCAGCATTTTAAGTTTAAATAACTACAAATTTACTACTAAGTCAACTTTAAAGTATTTTTTACGGTTAACCAAAACGGTTTTATAACGGTATAGATACGAAAAATTACCAAATTTGGGGAATGGTTTATTTCGTTATTTTACCTACATAATAACCTTTTTGATCTACTAAGAGAATAAAGTAATAAAAACAATATAAATACCACAAATTTACGTAAAAATAACGCTATAATTACTAACTGTTTGCTCTCTCTTTTTAAAACATTGACATTCATAATTTCTTTGTTCTTTTAATTTATATTTTACAAAATTTTGGTACTTACAATGGTACTTACAAAGTAATAAAGGCCACCCTAGAGTACTTACAATGGTACTTACAAAGTAATAAAGGCCACCCTAGAGTAAAATTAAGAAATAAAACTTAAATTGTCAAAACTAATAATATTTTGCATTAAAACTCAAATGCACATTATTTTATTGATAAAAATAAGTACGATACATCTTAAAAATTATATGCCCTCTAAATATTTTACGGTTTTAAGAAAAATTATTGCTTGGGTAAAAATTCAAAAAAACTTAAAACCTACAAAATTTTATAAAATATTTTAAAAATCATTTAGTTTTAATTATTTTTTAATAACTAAAACTTTCCTTATTATATTTTAGAAAAATATTTATGAAAAAATATTATATAAATGTTTAGATAAGTAATGGATGCCATCTTAAAAAAATTATTTTGGCGACCTGAAAAAAAATTTCCCTTATAGTTTTATTTATCACTTTAAGCTTATTTTTCCTTGTTTAGTAAATATTAATAGTATTTATTACCACTAATAACCCTAAAAAATACCAGGCGAATAGGTATTATTTACGGTTATAAAGTGGTCTTAATATCGTAAAATTATGACTTTTGAGTAACATTTACCATTAAGTTAAAATTACCGTTAAATTTTCCTTTAGGTGAAATACACTTATAAGTAATTTTCTTTCGTAAAAATTACGTCCCTCATAATACTTAAGGGTTATTAAAATAGGTAAAAATAACATAAATAAAACCTATTAATTAACTTTAGAAAAAGTTTTACCCCAAAGTAATTTTTTAAAGTTAATTTAACAAAATATTTACTTAAATTAAGTAATATTGCCTCAAAGCTCCACGATTTTACTTAAAATGCTGCTTAGGATTGTTCGCCATTTTAACTTGGGGTCAAGACTTTCTGAATTCGTGTGTATATTATGTGTGGCATGGGGGAGGCCCTGGGAGGAGTGAGTTTAAAACCTTCAACAAAAAATTGACCAAAGACCTTTCTTTGAATATGATAAAGAAGGTTTACAAATTTAAAAAAACGATAGGGAATTGTGGCTTGCACGACTATTTTTACTTTTTTCTTCTCCCCCCTTTGCAATGCCCATTATCGTACATGTTTCCATGACACTAAGTGACCTTTTAAATACACATTGACAAGTTGTGGCTTTAGTCACGGGCTGAAGTTAACAACAGGTTTTTAGTCACGGGCTGAAGTTAGTTTCAAGTTAGATAACAGTTGTCAAATGTCATACAATCGTTAAAATAAAGTGCCTTTCTTGTAACATAATACTAAATGTGAAAATTATTTTATTATGTCAATACAAAAATAAAAAAATATTAATAGTTTCTTGACGTCAATATTTGAAAAATTATAAGATTGTTTGTAGTGACCTTTCATTCTCTTCTCTTTTACTGTGAAAAACTTCTATATTGATTGTTAGTATATTTTTGAGGGATAAATTTTGATTTTAACGCCGGTAAATTACCAAGTTAGAAATTCTAACGGAAATTCCAATAAATACAACTGTTACTTTTTGTACCTTTAATATTTCCCGTGTAAGAATTTTTATACTTTGTGATAACATTTTGCGATTATAGTAATAAAAAAATCAAAGGATAATTTTTTTCTTAACATAATCATATTTTAAAGTTATTTTAATATTTTTTAAGTATCAATAATTGTTAAGTTTAATTAAAATAATGTTAATGGTGAAAATTACGTCAAAAATGTTTATTGGGATGGTTACTTTATTTTCGTATAGATGTCGCCTCATACAAATATTTAATTTAAATTATTTTTTAGATAATATTAAGTATTTGTCGTAGAAAAAGTACTATACTGCAACTCGTTTATAAACTTTTCTAGGCACTCGCTCGCAAGCTCGCTAAATTAAATTCGTGACTAAAATGGCGTTTATCAAACTTGATACATAAAATACTATTTTAAGCTTTTAAAACAATACAAAATATCAGATTAAACATTGAAATTTATATGTATTAAAGAAAGAACAAAATTCTAATTTATATTTTATCATTGTGTACACTGTACAGTGTACACTGTATGGATTTTACGTTTAATACTGCACTGAAAAAATGTATCCTTAGCCGTTACCAAAAAATTGTTAAATAAGTATAGATTGTTACGGTTGAAATAGGTGACAGCAAATGTTTGTGGTATTTATTACCACAACAAAAATGTTTTTAAGTCTTAGTAATGTTAAATGAGATGTCGTGTTACATATTAACCATTAATAGCTTCTTAAGCAGTACTACAACGTTGTGGTATCAAATAGAATTACCGAATTCTGATAGTAACTACTGCATTATAGTAAGTCTGAACATTCTTTAGTCGTTTGAAATATGCTTTAAGTGAGATATATTTAATAACAACGAAATGCCATTAAAAAAAAGTAATATTTATTATTTATTAACTTATCAGGGTAATATTTAGTACTTGTATAACCAGTATGTACTAATGTTACGGTATTTAACCAATAATTTTCTTATTTGGTACTTCCAAACGTAAAGTTACCAAATTCTGTCAAAAAATAGAGGGACATTTTGTGTAAATTAACCTTAATTACAAAAATGATACAATCAACAATAATTAAGTAACGTCAAATTTTCAATTTGCATTGTATCATTGTGTTAATTTTGTAATTATGATAAATTCATACAAAATGTCCCCCTATTTTTAGACAAAATCTGGTCACTTCATCCAAACGGAATAAATACTGAATTAAAAGGTTATCGATTATAGATTTTTTGGTGTTATGTAAAAGTATGCAGTAAAGGTTATAGGATAAAAGAGAACATGTTTTTCAACAAATTTTTATTAAAAAATATATACAAAATTCTTGGAATAAAATAAATGATATCTTCTCCTTAACTTTTCTGATAAACATAAAAACCTAAACTAACAATAATACAATATATATACTAAATATAAGAAGGTGTAACAATAAAACATTTAATAAAAATATAATAAATAATTTACTTATTTGTTAAATTTTACTTAATATTAAACAAGTGTTTGTCATTCCCAAAAGGGTTAGCTATAAGTTTTCAAACTCATGGCCCCACTGTATAGATATTACCACATAACACTTGTTCTGTGGATATTACTAATATATTAAAAAATAACGTCAAAACTCTTCAAAACAAGTATTGAACATTGAATCTTATTATAATAATACCTGTAACTTAGAGGCTGTAAGAAGAAATACCCAAATAGGTTTTTTACGGAAAAGCATAGAAAAGAATAGTTTTTCTATGGTAAAGGGCAAAAATGTTTATCCCGTCACCACGCAAAGGCTGCAAGCGAATATAAACCTAAAGGTGATACTGATCAAACTATTAAATAGAATGAAGTAAGTACCCCTTTACAAGCAAAAGCAAAAAGCGTAATATTCGAATGAAGTAAATTAAAGTTATGTTAGGTATATATTCTTAATAATACATAAATAATTAAGTATTTACTTACCCTTAAAAACACAAATTAAATCTTGTAACTTCCAATTTATTAGTAAATCGTCCATTGAGGCGTCTTTATGCAAACTTACTAACAACAATGGCGATTGTGCGAGATGAACAGTATAGATAAGCTTTGTTTTAGTATTACCAACTTCAAAATTTTTAAGATATAAACGAACATTGTAGTAATACTTACCACAAATATTTAGTGCCGATAAAAGAATTCATATTCGGAAGAGTTACTTGTTACTTGATTTACTTATAATATCTGTCTGAATTGTTTACAAATTAACGATGTGGTATTAGTTTGGCAGCATTTTGTAATACTTTTAAATAGGATCTGTTTTAGTTAAGCTTACTATAACAACTGTTACATATTTGACATTTTTCCTGTTGTTATATATTAAGGGTTTTAGGTCGCCATTAATACTAAAGCATGTATTATTTCATACTAATTTAGGCTACATTTTTGTTGCAGTATTACTAGATAAATGCTTAGTTTTTCTTTATGCATCGTAAATGTATAATAAACATTTTGCCTTTTTATTTTCTACTGAACCTATACTACAATTACGTAGTAGTAAAAATTTTTAAATAAATTTTTTCAGTGTGTACACTGTACAGTATTTAAACGTAAAATCCATTCGTTTGCCCTTATTTGCAGCAAACTCGGCAATAACAGCCTCATTACTCAGTATCTGTTCCACCGTTAAAGTTTTCATAATAATTGTTAAACATTAATGCAACAGAGAACTAATATTACGACAAATACAATAGAGTAACCATTTTAACTTCAAGCTAGTAACTTGAAAATCTGTATTACAGGCGCGCCGGTAAGAAGGTCACATTTTTATGCATATATCGAAATGTATCCCCTGAATAACCACCGGTTAAATCCGATATAGAAGCCGTTTTTTACATTGAAAGTGAAGATGGAGTCTCCACCCTAAATTTTTAATGTTTGATTAGTTAAATCTAGTTTACTGCACTACATTTGTATTGACATAATAAATTTATTTTTACATTTAGTATTATTTTACAATATTATTTTAACGCCCGTGACTAAAACGCCATACAGCCACAACTTGTCAATGTGTATTTAAAAGGTCACTTAGTGTCATGGAAATATGTACGATAATGGGCGTTTTAAAAATAGAAGTAGACAAAAGCCTTTATAAAATCGTTAAATCACCACGAATTACAAAATTAAAACCAGTCAATCTGTTGGAACTGGTTTCGAAAAATAATATAAATAAATAAATTAAATATTTTATCGTTGAATTCGCCACTAAATTTAAGCTATACATATCTATTTTTACCATTTAGAATTAACAGTTTGTATTCAAGTGATATATAACCATATTATAAATACATAACAATTAATTACTCATGATTATTCCCAATCAGGAAATATTTCGTAATAAATTGATGACTCGGTTAATAACCTTACGTAAATCTTAATTTGAGGAATTTCCTAGTAAATCTACTTTCCATAGAATTAAAAAACAGGCTACTAGCCGACGTATAAAATATTACAGATTTCAATTATTTAAAGAAATAAATTTATTCGTGTAGTATCAAGGGTATTGGTGGTCAGTCAGCATATTAATCGCTTTACCTTGAAATAACTAATTAGTAAAAACCTTATTATGATTGGACTTTTTTTAAATATTAATTTAATTAATAAAAATAAGTGCCAGTTAGTTAATTATAAATTCTAAAATATAATTCCTTTTTGGCATGCGTTTTTCATACTTCAAATGCCCGGCGCATTCTCCATTTTTGCAAAAAATGATTTTAAAAAATTAAAAAAATGACTTACATCCAAATGTCCATTGCTATCATGCACCAAAACTTCTTTGCTTTGGTGGAAGTTCAGTCCAACCACTCCACTTTCTTCGGTAACCGAAATCGAATCTTTCTTTCCCCAATTTAAAGAAGCTAAACTAATGTTGTTTGCAATATTTTGCTCAGTTTGTTGCGACACTGTGACTGGTACATCGTTTTCTTTTCCTTGAACCTGTTTTCTGGATAGTTTTAAGAAAACCTCTTCCAGAGATTGGCAACCATACATAGACAGGAGTACGTGTGGGGATTCTTCTGCCAGAAGTTTCCCACTTCTCATAAGGCCAATCTAAAAAATTACAAAACATCGGGTTTTATTTTTCAAATCTTTAATGTCATATTTTTTACGTAATATAAAATGCTTTTTAATTTGTCTTTATTATAAAAAAAATAACTAAATTACAGAACAAATTTAAAATATATTTGGTTGTGCTAGGGATAAAAAACATCCTGTCAAAGATAAAATCAATTAGATATAATATTAATCATTAGTAGATAAAGTTTTAATGTTTTAAAAAACATAATGGTGCAATCCAAAATTTAATTTTTCCGTGTTGGTAATGGAATTTTTACAAGGCTTGTAATTATCCAAATTTTAATAGTTATAGAATGTATAATTATTAAAAAAATATAAAAAATATAAATATATGTATACATGTAGGTATATACAATAATAATAATATACATACGTAACATGATATTTCTTTGTTTATTTTTTTTTACTTTTTTACACAGGTATAATAAAAATTGTATTACCTACGTCTATACTTAATTTTTAACAATTTTGTTTGTGAACGTGTGAGATTTTTATTTAAGTAAATAAAAATTAAAGATGCAAATTTTTGTCTTAAAATTGTTGACGTGTTTACCAATTTTTATATTTTATCTTATCATCGAGAATAACACTTTTTCAAATAAATATATTTTAGCTTTTCTTTTTAAATTTTTGACCTTCTTTTGTTTTTATTTAAACCTCTTTATCTGTGTTGGTTGATACTTTTGTGAAATGTGAAAACAAAAGACTGTACTAAATCCTTTATTTATTCCCTACGTAATCAATTTTGAGTAGAAACACCCTGTATAATAGAATTTACTTTGGATCTAAGTAGATGTTTGGTAAATACTTTTATTGTTTGTTAATGACAGTCATTAAAATAATTGTTTAAGAGAATAAAACAATAATACACAGAGGCAATTAACCTGTGCCCCAAGGCAACATTGTCACTTTCTACTAAGTAATGTTATTTATCAAAAATACAAAATTCATGTAAATAATATTTATTAAATATTCACTAAATATTAAAAAAAATATTTCGTGTACAAAAAAATTAAGTATAAAAAACTCGGCAACACATGAAAGAAGTGTTGTTGACAACAAAATAAACGAGGCATCTAGCAGCTATCTGAAGTAAACATGCATGACAAATGTATTTTCTGACAGTTTGTTCCAAAAAATCAAAAGTAAAATCATAACTTTATTATTAATTATCAAATGTGAACTTTTTATTTTTAAAGTGTCATTAGGAAATTCAACATTAAAATAACAATAAAATTCACACTTGTGACTGGGTACTCGTCGGATTTTAATTTTTTTTAACTCCATACAGCTTGGCATACGGTTGTAGAAATATAATGAAATGTTTTAAAATACGAAAATATAAAATATTTCTGAAAATTAATAATTATATTTTTTTAAATGGTAAATTTCAAAATATTAAAAGTTAAAATGCGATTTTTATTAATTAACGAATATTACAATGACTCTTATTGTGATACCGAGTTTTTCATACTATTTTGTCTATTTCGACCATAATACATTAAAAAAATTAATAAATATTTCAAAAAACATGTAGTTTAATTCATGTTTATAGGTTGGCACAATTGACGTGAAGCAAAATGTCAAAATATTTAATGACAGTCAAAACAAAACGTTTTATTTGGTCTATTTCGATGCTTCTTAGATCTAGACACAGTTTACATTTACTTTTAATGATTTTATTTACATTCTTTAATATAATTTTGATAAACATAACCAAAAGAACGAGTTGACATGAAAAATAAAAGAGTTGGCTATGTCCATCATGGCGGAGTCTGTATTTTATATAAAAAATATCGCGATCTAGATTAAAACTGATTGCAATTGCAAACTTAAGTTTAAAGAACATTTTTAATCTTACAAGACTCAAAACAACGTTTTACTTTACGTACAATTACTCTCGCAAACGTCTCCATTTTAAAATTGAGTTGCTTTATCAAACTTATTGAGTTGCTTTATCAAACTCATGGCCTTATTGATTTAAAGTGGTCTGACGCGGAAATGAAATCCTAACCTTACAAATTGTGCCGCTTTTTTTTAAATTACCATTTCGTTTTAATTTAAAATACTTGTTGCTAATATTTTTTATTTTAAATATGTGTTCTAATTTTCTTTCACGTCTAAAGTAGATACACGAACTGCACTGGTTCACTAAATTAGCTTTATCCGAATGTGTAGGGAGTGGAATTAGATTTAATAAATTGGTCAAAAATCGAACAGGCATTTCTTTTAGCCAAATTGACTAAATTAAAACTTTCAATATTCTTAATGTAAAAATAATGTTTTTGTGTTTAAAGTGAAATTTTATTGAGCATATAGGCCTAAGATAAAATAGTTTTCTTAATGGGTTTTAATAAATGCATTAAACAAAATTTACAAAAGCTAATTTTTGCCCTTCAAAAATCAATGTAAGAAAGGTAAGTAAATTTAAAAAAATTACAAACCATTTTTTTTCTTTCATTTAACACGTTTAAATTTTTTTTATTTATTTATTTTTATGTTTATTCATCTTGTTTTTGAAAATAATAATAGTTTATAAAAAAATAGTAATTATATACATATGTAGATAAAAAACAAACACTGTTTTTTGAGTTTCACGAATTTATTTTAATTTAATTTTACAATTATTGCAGATAATGGGTTTAAAAAAAATAGTACACTATGACAATTTAACGGTCGAAGTATAATGTAACAACAGTGTAATAATAGTATATTATTATACGAGAGATAATGCAGGTTATTATTCACGAGGATGAGAATCTCAAATCATCCTAGTGAATAATGCGCATAATCTAGAGTGTAATACTATACTTTATCTACTCCAATAAGTAGATAATTAAATGATTTTAAAAATTAAATAAATAAAATCTGACATCTGTCTACCAATTTTAAATGTAATTATAGTCGCCTTCTTCCAATTTAAAACCCGATTGGTTCAAATCACTGTGAACATTGGAATCGGTCAATCACAACGTGAATATTGAGTTTATTATTCACGTTGTTAGGCAGGGAATTTATAATGTTTATCAATGTTCAAGAAAAAAAACAAAATTATGCAATAGGAGTAGATATAATAATTTAAGGAGTTTTTCTTTCTTATATTAGAATAAATTTAACTCATTGAGGATAATATCAGATTTTTTAAATTTATTAAGTGTATGTTTGGCCTATGTAAGTTTTTGGACAGTGCACATTGTAGTTGGTAGAGTCCGGATTTCGTATCTTTCTTATGTTCTTTTGTTGTTTTAAATGCAATATAAATATTATTCTTTTTGAAGAAATTCGACACATGTCTTGTCTTAGTGCCAATTTGGCACTGCCAAAGTATGTGACTATGTTATGTTATGTGGGGTTCTTTTGTATTGATTTATAGCCATTTTCAGTTTTTTTGTGACTAAATATATTATTAATTAATTGTGCACTATAACCATTGTTAATTGTAATTTGATTGTATATTCACCTTCCACTAAATTTACCCAATGCTTAATTGTCATAGTTACAATTGTGTAAATAATGGTAACTATGACAGTTATCCATCTAGTAAATTTAAAGGGGGGGTAAATATACTGGCCCTAAATTTAATTTATCATAAAAATCTGATTCTGTCATAGGTACGTTTAAAAGTCTTTATCATGGAATTAAATGCTGCTGTTTTTTAAAAAAAGGATGTGAGGAACTTTTGTAATTAAATTTACACATTAGCGACTTTTCCGAAAAAAGGATTGGGGGTTGCCAAAATACAAAAAATACGTGTGGAGGGATGTAAAAGTGCATAAGCAATCGGCGCAGGGTAAAAAAGTTGTATAATTATCACGTAATTAATAAAAGGGGCAGATAATTATAATTGAAGTGACTTACAGTGATTTTCTGTGAAAAAGAGTATGTAGCGAGTCAAAAACACGTATCTATATTATAATAGACGTAGAATTTGAAAGTGAAGTGAAAAAGCTTGAATTATGAAAAACAACGTCATAAATTGCGGAAAATGCAATTTTTAAAATCAGGTAATTTGAGGTTATGCAGGTTCACAATCCAGCCTGCCCATAGATATATTATACCTCTATTGCTCAATAGGGCTGATTTTAAAAATTGCATTTTCCTCAATTCATGACGTTGTTTTTCATAATTCACGCTTTTTCACTTCCCCTTTCAAATTCTACGTCTATTAGATACGTGTTTTTGGCTCGCTGCATGTTCTTTTTCACAGAAAATCACGGTAAGTCACTTCAATTATCAGCCCCTTTTTTTATTAAATACGCGATAATTATACAACTTTTTCACCCTGCGCCGATTGTTTATGCACTTTTACGTCCCTCCACACCTATTTTTGGCATTTTGGCAAGTTTCCTGCCGTTTTTCGGAAAAGTCGCTAAAGTGAAAATTTACCCTTTTGTATTGTTATGTCTGTGTAAGGTAGGTTATGGTAGATTTTAAATTTGTGACTACTTTTTTTGGATGGTAAAATCTAAAAAGTTAATTTGATTATTTTTTTCTTCTTAAATTGTATTATTTTTTTATTTTATATATTTATTTATTTCACACTCTAGCTACCAAAACAGTTCTTCAGAATTGGTACCGCTAAGTCTATGTTAATTTGAATTAATTCTTCCATTCTTCTATTCCATTATTTAATCCTTTTTTTAATTAGCATTTATACCTCTTTCCATTCTAAAAAACTTTGCTTCCAAATACCTTCATTTTATTTTTTTAAACCATAAATTTTGATTAATATTTCTGACATCGAGAATTTGCGCCAGCAGAAATGGTTCAAATTATTTTGGGCCAATCTTCTATAATAAAATTCCTTTAAAAATAAGAATGTTAACAAGAAAAAAATTTGAAACTTCAATAAAAATATTATTAATAAACAATTCTTTTTATAGTTTAGATGACTTTTTAAGCTGTGACTGTCAAAATATGTAGTAATTAGTCTTTCTATGCTTGTACTAATAATGTTATAATAAATTATTAATTTTAATGTTGAAATTTTAAATGTAATTTGTGTATCTATTTTGTAACTTGTATTTCGACTTGTGTAAACTTTTTGTACTTAACACGAATAAAGATGATTATGATTATAAAGATGATTAGGATTTAAGCATTTAATAACATTTAGGGTGTATAGCTATTTAATTGTCATCTACATACCAATATAAGAATTGTTTTATATTAGGATGTTTGTGGATGATTAATTCTAAGTGGTCGAAAAAATAAAATAATTATATAGATATGATATCTCTTGTAAATCGACCTACCGTGTGAGCCTGCCTCGCCTCCTCGATGTAGTGCGTCGTAATGATGACGGTCTTATTGCCATCCTTGGTGATTTGGACAAGATGATTCCATATGCTTTGCCTCAGCAAAGGATCCACACCCACCGTCGGTTCGTCCAAGATCAGCAGCTCTGGGTCATGCATTAACGCCACTGCAAACGACACCCTTCTCTGTTGACCACCGCTGCGAAGAAAAAAAACAAATTTATTAACTTGTTTTTTTTGTGTCGTTAAATAGTTTTAAATATGCATTCTGCTTAAGAAATGGCCAAGAAAAAAATATATTTAACATTTTTACTGGTTTAAATAATTACAGGTTATGCTTCCTTTCTTTTCAAAAATCTTTGCAATGGCGATGTTTGAGAGAATATTGGATTTTTTCTTACTTTCAAGCTTTTTAATGACAATCAGCATGCATATCTGAAGAGAAAATCGACAAACACGGCGGTAAATACCTTTATACATAGTATTTTAAGGGGTATGAAGGTAAAGACATTTCATTGGGATTATTTATAGATCTTTCCAAGGCTTATGATTGCTTAAATCATAATATTCTATTCGATAAGGTATGGTATGGATGATATCCTATCTGTATCACACGAAATATGAAAATAGCTATTTACATACCATGGGAGGAAAATAGTGCTTTTCCTCCCGCGAATAGTTTGATGCCCGACGCGAAGCGAAGGGCATTAAATATTCAAGGGAGGAAACGCTTTTCTTCCTGAGGTATGTATATAGTTTTTTCTATTACCTTTTAACGGTTTTAAGTCATTTTAAGCGTTCCGGTTCCTTTTACTAACACGGTATGGGGCTATAAAATTAAGTAGGTGTTGCGTCGCCGACGTTATGTTGACAACGCTTTGTTGCTATGGTATTTTTGGTAATACAAACATAACAGTTTTTATAAGCTGTCAGAATGTTTATCATAAATTTGAAATTCATCCTACGTTTTGAAAATGAGTTCTAGCGAAGAAGACCTGCCGCAAGATCTTTCTCAAGAGGCAAGAATAGTTGCAATTAACTTCCTTCCTTAAAAATCGAAAGAGCGATATGAAAATGAATAGTTTGTTAAAAGAATGGTTGGACAAGCGTGGAATAAATCTTTTTCCTACAAAATCAAATAGGGCTAGACAAGGTAAAAAAACACTTGCTAATGTAAATTTGTTAAAAAAAAGAGGGAGGAAAATTGTTTTCCTCCCGGGGAGGAAAAGAGGCATTTTCCTCCCTCGCTCGGGGGTGGAAAATTAGGTTTTCTAGTAAGGTAGTAAAAAAAAGTTATTTCTGAAGGTCTAGATATTAAACTGGGTGTTCCTCAAGGATGCATAATGGGGCCTGTATTATTTTTGATATATTTAAATGATATTTGTAATGCAAAGGGACAGGATGAGTTTAAATTGGTGAATTACGCTGATGGTACCAATTTTCTTATTAAGTTAAAAAGCTTGGGGACGGCTATTCAGTAATCAAGCAAGATATTTAAAAATTTAAACTTCTCGCCCATCAAAAAGAAATTGATCATCAATAAAGAAAACACAAGTTGCTTGATATTTCAAACAAAGCGTCTCAGACCGAAAAAAATTATTATTCATGGGAATGAACATATTCTTAATAATAGCACAAAACTTTTAGATATTACAATCGATTAAGGGCTTACATAGGGAGAACATATTAATGAACCAAGGAGGAAGCTTAATAAAACACACTATGCTTTTATAGTTATGAAAATTTATGTGGATATGAATGCCTTTAAGGCAGTATATTTAGCAAATTTTGAGTCTGTAATGGAATATGGAATTGTTTTTTGGGGACAATCCATTAAATGTTAATATAGAGACCATTTTTTTTAATTTAAAAAAGAATGGTCAGAACCATATTAAACCTCTCTTATAGAGAAAGCAGTAGGGCAAAATTTAAATGTCTTAGGGCCGGTTTATTAATCTCTGGTTAAGTTCCAGTTAGTCTATCTGACAGTTAAATTCCATATTGATCGTTGTGAGAACAATGTTATCCATGGAAATTATCTACCAGATAACTGCAACTGCAACTTTAACTTGACTTTGATAAACCGGCCCTTAATATGTTAACTTTAACTGGCCTGTATATATACGAGTTACTTTTGTTTTAATAAAATAATTTTAGAGATTTTATGTTTCAGAAACTTAGAACAGTATACGAGGTGTGTTCAGAAAATAACGGGAATTGTTAAATTTCGCGGGTTCAGAGGGTCCGGTTGTCATAAAATTTTCTTTATTATGTTGGTATACATGCCCCCGAAGTATGATAAAAACTTTAGCTGTTTTCATTGTTTACTTTGTCTGTTGCAGCCGCTAAGGTTAGACGTGTTTTATCAGCTCGGCGATTTTTCGTTCGTTAAAAGAAATGGATCAAAGAATTTGTATCCAATTTTGCTTAAAAAATGAAATAAATTCTGTGAAATGTTAACAAAGGCCTATAGTGAGCCTGCTATAAGTAAAACAAGATTTTACAAGTGGTATAAGAGTTTCCAAGATGGCCGTGAAGACGTTGAAAATGACGAACGCCCCGAACGCACAAGCACATTAACAACCGATAAAAACATGGAAAAAGTGGAAGAAATGGTTATAAACCATCAGAGAAGTCGCTGATGATGTTGGTATATCGATTGGCTCATCCCATGAAATTTTTTCGAATGTTTTGGGTATGAAACGCGTGGCAGAAAGATTTGTTCTAAAATTGTTAAATTTTGAACAACATTTTTGGCCAAAAACAATACTGTAATGATGCCCCAGCCTCCATATTCGCCAGACATGCCTGTCTGACTTTTTCCTATTCCCAAAAATAAAGAGAACCTTAAAGGGCCGTCGTTTTGCAAGCATAGATGACATTAAAAGCGCATCGCTGAAAGAACTAAAGGCTATCCCAAAGAGCGAGCTGGCACATGTGCATAATATCCTATTTTGAAGGCGACAACATTAATGTAGACGAATAAATATTTGTTTCAAAAAACGAAAATTCCCGATATTTTCTGAACACACCTCGTACATAATTAAAAAATATTAAAAAAATTGTACATGTACATTTAAGGAATACTTAAAAATGTGATATTTATAAGTGTACAATTTTTTTACTTTTGTAATGTATTGTAAAACATGGATGACTTTTTCTATATTTATTTGGGCGTTTCTCTGTAAACTGGGCAACTCATTGTCTCAAGCTAATATTGTTTAGAAAAATAACAGATCATAAATATTTCGTAGATAACTTCAAAAGATAATAACCTAATCTACCTATGCTCGACGTTCAAAATCCAATAAAATAAACTTTAATGTATCAAAATCGTTTTTATAGTCCTTAAAAACCAGTCCCCTGACGTGTCACCAAAGCAAAATGGTCACTTCAGACTAAATTAATTAAAGACAGTAACTATTTGAATCAACCTAATTGTTTAATTATTCAACCAATATTGTTTGCTTGTTACTGTGACTTATTTATTTTTTATAATTATTATTTTGTAATTCTAAAAAAGTCAGCTAAACTTTGTCTCCGGATTTTATAAACAGTCCCCTGTATAGATTTTTCAGAAAATGCTGAATGTTTTCCAAAGTAATAGGACTATTTTTGGTTCATCTGCCGTATACTAATAAATAGACCGATATTTCTTCCTCGAATAACATTTATTAAATACAACAAAAATATAACAAAAAAACTTGCCTAGACAATTTCTTACTTCAAGTTGCCCAGTTTACAGAGAAACGCCCATTTATGTGTTTCACTATGTACATTTACATTTAAAAGAAATTTATTATTATTAATATTATTATTATAATATAAGATATAATAAGATAAAATTAATAATAAAATAATGGCCATAAAGACAAGTTAAAATATTAAGAAGCTAAAATATTAATATATAAAATTTAAGTTTAACTTATTATAAAACAAAGACAAGATCATTTTTTCACTTACCTAAGATTCTTGACTAATCTATTCTGACTGGGCAAATCCAAGAAGTTCAGCAAAAACTGCAGCCTCTCGTTAATCTCACTGGATTCCATGCCGAAAATCCACCCGAAATACATCATGGTTTCCTTGATGGAAAACTCGCCGTAAAGGGCGATTTCCTGCGGCATGTAGCCGACGCGTTTTCCCGGCACGCCACTGCCTTTCGTTCCCGGTTTACCCCCCAGCACCCAAATTTCGCCGGTGTTCAGCCGTCTGCGCCCGACGATGCACGAGAGTAGCGTGGTTTTGCCGCAGCCTGATGCTCCCAGAAGACCGTATCTGGAGAAGAAAAAAAAATATTGAAATTTTACAATTTTGGTGGATGCGCCAGGTACAATTTTGTAGAATAATAGAAATCGTTATTAAATCAATTTAAATTTATAAAATATCCACAAAAATTTTAAATTACAAAAATATATTAAATTAAGGGATATTTATTATGTGAAAATTACATCGTTTCAAACCAAAGAAATATTTATTAACTGTTGAAAATTATCAGAAAAAATCAAGAAATTGATTTTTTTTGTTAAATTTTTCCTCTTTCACTGTTTAAAATATCTGTGGTGTAAAAAGTAATCCTAAAATGGTGTCAAAATCCAACACCAAGTGGTGTTAATATAACACCATGAATTATGGTTGAAAATGAACACCAAAACGGTGTTTATCTAAAAATATTTGAGAAGTGCACCTACACAGAAAAAAAGGAATAGTTCATTTAACTATATTAATTTAGTTGACCCATAAGTATTTATTTTTTTGTGGATCACGTGATGTTCTTAAATCTCTCCTCTGATGACTTACATGAAGAATATATAAACTCATGTTGTCCTTTGCTTTGGTGTGACACTACAAGTTGTTCGATACTAGACCTTAAATAGGTGGAAACAGCTGTCAATACTTGAAGTATTTTAAGTTAGTGGAACGAACTAAAAACATTATCTCTAGCGAGTTGAAGGTTCCATTTTCTGGAATAATACCACTGGTAATGTACTAGTAATGCGTCAAGGAACTTCCTGTTTCCTTTTTTTTTTCCTTTTTTCTGTGTAGTATGATTTAATTTGACCACAAACACATAATATATAACACTGAAAAGGAGTTCAATTTACACCAGGTAAAATTTATTTTAATACTGTGTGAAAGTTAAATTTACACCATTTTAGTATTTGAATTTACACCATTTTAGTATTTAAATTAACACCGAACCAACGAACCCTATTTAACACCATTTTGGTTTGTATATCGATATATCGATATAGACCAAATATGGTGTTAATTTGGTGTTAAAATGGTCCTGAAATTTTGAACAGTGTTCTTGCAAAGAGTCTAAAAAAACGTTTTTTATGAAAATAAATAAAAATAGTCGATCTGTCGGAAATAAGTGTTTCTGGAAAAAATTGACCATAGTCAATTACCTTAATTTGCTATAAAAATCAGTTTGTAGTTTGTTAATTTTATTTTGTAAAATTTTAATATAATTTTTTGTACCGTAAACACGGGTGACTTTGCACCCCGCGGGTGACTATCCCTTTTATGAAAGATCTTTTCGCGCTCGATAAAATTAACATTTATAATTTGTTGGTCTAAACCTGTCAATTGAGCGATTCTATTGAGTTTATATTACAGGAAAATCAGTGTTTTAAAAAAATTAATGGGGTTTATTACACTTTAAAATTGTATATATTGCATCAGTGCAAAACTCTTAAAAATACACGCGTTTTAATTTCTATATTATGCGCAATTCTTTGGAATGATGATCCTTGGTTAACTACAGGTCGATTTTTTATTGTTTTTATCGGTAATCCCTTGCAATTGCTATATGTCGATGCTAACATATGTCTAATAAAAATAAAATAAAATATTGAGTTAATTTTATACGGAAAATACACTGTGAGACAAAGTAACCCGTAACCAGGGGGTAACTTTGCACACCCAGTTTTTAAATTTTATTTTTGAAACTCAGTCCTATGTAAGATTATAACATAGTTATTATGAAAGAGCAACTCAAGACTCAAATTTTGGTATACAATATTTAATGTTTATGATTGTTTAAACTACAAAAATGTTAAGATGTTAAGAAAAAAGTTGCCATCCCATAATTTTAGTTTGAAAACCATAATGGGATACAGTGAAGTGGGTTAAAGTTACGAAATACATCAGTAAGTGTTGTAGTAGTATTAATAATAGTATTATATTGTACCAAATTTCTTTATAATGTGATGATTTCAGAATGGTGTGTTATTTAATTGTGTGTATGTTATTTTTTTTCTTCATTTATGTAGGTATATATGTGTTAATTTTTTTCTTTAGGAAATTGATTAATAAAACAACATTTCTTATCAAAATTATTTTCATTTAAGTTCCCAATTTCCAACAAATACTTTTGTTACTGGGTCTACAAAAAGGTTTGTAAAAATTAGGTCCATTTTATAAAATTACTAGAATTAAGGTTGATTTATTGATGTAGGATATTGTTATTAAATCTACAAAATGTTTGTTAAAATAAAAAACAACTTTTTTAATTAGTTAACAGATTACACTTGGTTGTAAACTTGACATTTATGTGGACCTGAATTAACATAAAATCTGGTTAATATTTGGTTAAAATTAACAAATATTTTTTTACTGTGTAGGATACCTTAAATTTGAGTTCAAGCTTTATCCATGAGCCCAATCAATTTATGCAAAATGGTAAAATTGTTTCCAACAGATTGATGATTTTCCACTTTTTTACAATAATCGTTATCCTAAGTCCCTGAGTCCTAATCCTAGTGCTATAATGCCTGTTTTTTTAGGCTTAAATTAATACTTTACACGATGAGTTTTAAACTATTATCGGGCGCCAGTGAGTGGGCGACTAAAATCTTTAGAGACAATGTCTTAAAAAACCGAATGCTACTATAGCATATATGATACAACAGCTGTTAAATTTAAATAAATTGTTTATTACAAAAAACATACGGCGTTTAAATATAATCTAGAAATAAATTATGCATTTTATTCGCATTAAATAAGTTCGACCTTCCATTTGTTCAAAGTTTAAAGTAAAAAAACTTGTCATCTAATGATATACCAAAGTTAAGTATATAAACAGGTGTCTTATGTTAAAATATATTTAAATAAATATTTTATGTTCAATGTAAAACAAGTAAATTTTCTTTAATGTATTTACTTTTAAGGTACTAAAAAATTAATTATTTGTATGCTTTATTGGTTCCATGAAAAACAAAGATGTTAAATTTATGTTTTCTAATAAACTTCAATGCTGAATTTTAACAACCATTTAACCTTAACACATCCATGTCAATAAACCGAAAATTTCTCACCTTGCCAAAAAAATAATTTATTTATAAAAATAATAATAAAAATTTACAACTCAAATAAAATTATGTAAATGTTAATTTTTTGTTAGATAATTAAATATTTGGCAACGAAAAAATAACATGTGTAAACATTGTTTACACACATCGGAAATGACAAAATGACTAAAAATTATTGTAAATGATTTTTTATTCATACTCATATAATTTGGATTTCTTCACTTACATTGTTCCTTTGGCCACAGTCATGTTTAGGTTGCTAAGGACATGATTGGGCTTCTTATTCGATCCGTAATGTTTAAAGGCATGCCGCACGCAAACGGCCTGCTGTCTTTTGTTCCACACCGTCGATTGTTGATGCGTGAGCGGGGGTCTTTCCACATTAACTCCGACCAAGTCCGGTCCTGGAACCACCGGTTCCACCCTTTCGCCCATTGCTGATCCCTCACTGCAAAAAAAAAAGAAAAAAGTTATTATATTTTTTTATCGAAAATTGCCTACTAACTAAAACAGTTCCCAAAGATTAATAATAATAATTTATTGAAATTTTACGAAAATGTATAAAAATTTATATGAGTTAACAATTGATTATTTTTTATTTAATAATATATTACAATATTAATTTTACACCTACAAATTATTGTTTTTGCCTGTCATACTTTTATGATTATATTCTAGTAATTTACAACGTTTTTGTATTTTTTCAGTTTTGTAATTGCTACTTAGTTTGGAAATCATAACTTAACACAAAATTGTTTAAACAATCCTAAATTATTAAAGCTGTCCCAAAATTGAGTAAATGGGAGATAGCTTGGGTATTTTAGAAGTGATCGCTTTTGTCAAACTTAAACATTTTATTTAATATTTATTAAAAAATATACTAGTTAATTAAGTAACCAATAAAATTGTCAATAAAACGTTTAAAACTTTCTTCTTGTAGATTATGTAAGAATATCCACACAGATGCTATTACATAACTTTTTACTTTCATTATAGTAAATTTTAAACAACTTGTAATCATTTTTGGAATTTAAGAATCGTACATTTTATAATAGAATGAATAATAATTTAATAATTTATTAATGAATAATAATTTGGTCGTGCAATCATATCATAAACAATACAAATATTTATCTACTCCTACATTGAAGAGCTGTGACTATATGGCGTTTTAGTCACGGGCTGAAGTTAACAACAGTGGCTTTTGGGCATTTTAGTCACGGGCTGAAGTTAGCTTTATTATAAATTGCGAAAAAGTGAGGTCAAATATTTTGAAATTAAAGTTGGCTTTAAATTCTTATTTCTGTTCGTCGTAGATAAAGTATAGTATGCAACTCGTTTTATAAACTTCTCTAGATACTCGTTTTTATTAAACACTCGCTCGCAAGCTTCGCTCGTGCCTAATAAAACTCGCAACTAAAATGGCGTTTATAAAACTTGATACATAATATACTATTATCCACTCCTAAATTGACGAACTGTGACTTTATGACGTTTTAGTCACGGGCTTAAGTCAGCAATAGTGGCTTTCGGGCATTTTAGTCACGGACTGAAGTTAGCTTTATTATAAATTATGGAAAAGTGAATCTGTTGACATTTGACAGGTGTCAAATGTTTAACAAATAAAATTTTCTTTAAATTATTATTTGTGTTCGTCGTAGATAAAGTATAGGATGCAACTCGTTTATAAACTTCTCTAGACACTCGTTTTCAATAAACACTCGCTCGCAAGCTTCGCTCGTGCCTAATTAAACTCGTAACTAAAATGGCGTTTGCTAAACTTGATATATAATGTACTATTACCTACATATGTAATCTTACCAAATAAATGGGTTTTGTTAAAATAATTTGGTGCATACAAAATCTACTTTTACTTATTTATTTATGTTTTTTTAACCTAGCCATTCAAAAAATATCTTAGGTTAAAATGTTTTTTTTTCTTCAAAAATTTATAACAGAATAGATTTTTAAAATAAATAATTGTACATAATTTTTAAAAATTAACTGATCTACAAAAAAGCTTTTTTACCTTTCGAGAAATGTAAGCGTTTTAATTTAAAAAAAATTTAAATAAAAAATCAACAATTGAAGGGGAAAGAAGCAAAAGGGTACAAGTGATAAAAAGATAAGTGAAGTTATTAACAAAAGTTTTTGCTATATACAAAAATCTGGATACTTGTTTCAATGTTGAACTTAACTTATTTTCATTATATTATGCACTTGTACCCTTTTGCTTCTTACCCCTTCAATTATGATTTTTTTGTAGAAAAAATCGTTAAAAACTTAAATTTATTACATAATTGTTAATTGATTGTATTTAATGTTTTTAAAATATCCTTAGATGCCTATTTCTTTAAAATGTTTAAATATGATTGGAAACTGTCTAAAATGGACTTAAAAAATGTGGTTTTACTATTGATAAACTTTTATTACTTTTGATTTAATTTATTTTTGTCTCTAAAACGAGTTTCTTAATTATTTACTAGGTAGTTATTCATTTTTAAAATCCTTCTTAATGTTATAGGGTTATAAAAAACCTGCTTGGGAATTTTACCTGAACACTGTTATTAATTTTTGTAATTTATTTGGCATATGACGTCAATGGATAACTTAAATAAAATGCTTTAATAATTTTTGGGGAATGTATAATATAAGTACATACCCATAGAAAAAGTTTTTCTTTGTACATACCCCTAAAAATGATTAACGCATTGTATATCTTTCTGGACACCCTGTGTATTAATAATATTAATAATAATATTTATTTTTTCCATAAAATATCTACAAAGTATTAAAAACGTCAAAGGAAAAAAATCATCCTTAAAAATAACTTATGATTAATAATATGCAGAGGGCATTACAACTTTTCATTTCACAAAAGCAATACCTTTATGGAAACTGTAATAACAATAATATTTTAATTAATTTGGTAGGCAGCTCACAGTGTTTTAATTGCCTAGGATCTACGCCAAAACGACCTACTTGTAATGTAATTTTATTAAGTAACAACAAAACAAATCAGTGTCATCTAAACGATTGTTCGACTTGTTGCGTTAAAGTTTATAATGCAGAATTTCAATGGCCGATTGTACCTTGAATTGTACGTGTAATAAGTGTAAGCACTTTGAATTTCAATTTGTGCCAACGTCCACTTGCAAAATGTATGCGAGGCCCGAGGATGCAGAAATCTCACACCATGCAATTAATGTCATTTTATATTAATAGGGTATTTATACTTTTACTACCCCTTACTCCATAGGCCAATTATTGTAAGTATTTAACTTATAAAATATATTAATAAATTTGTAACGTTTTTAACTGTACACGTTTAAAAACTTGGCAACGATGTGTGCATGATAAGTTGTCATGGAAATAATTCAAATTTGGCAGCTTGACCTGGGCGATGTATTTTTCAACAATTTGTGTCAAAAAAAATAATTAATGAAAAGAAATAGTCATAAAATAATAAAAATAAAACTCAAAAAACTTTAAACTGGTTTAAAAGAACAAACCACCATTGTATTTTAATTTTAAAATCGACGTATTTAAATTTTTTTCATGCAAAACACACAAAATGTTGACAGTACGGTTTACACATGGCGACTTATAAAACACAACAATGGGCATTAGGTTCCGTCCATAAATCTCGTGACGCTAAAAATGGTCAAAATTGACGCTCTCCCCCTTCCTCGTGGCAGAATGTGGCGATGTCAAGATCCCCCCCATAAAAATATTTTTTCCGTTTTTTTTTATTATAATCTGACTCAAAATGGAACATATAAGCAATTTCATACACTGAACGAAAAAGGTACGTGATATTAATAAAAAAGTACATCAAATAAATGAACGACAACATTAATTTTCAGCCGATGACGGGTGTCGCAAATTTTCTTATTCGTCAAGTTACGATTTCTGTACGTTAAATCAATGAATGAGGAGCATGGATCTATGTTTGACTGTAATTAATACGATAAACAGGTTTACATCAGTTTATGAATGCTGTACGTTAAATTAATAATCTATGATCATGGATCTATGAACAGCGCACATACGTAGATTTAATTAATTTAGGCGGCCAAATGTAAAAAAATCAAAATAAATCTAGCAATTACACATTGACTACCACAGGTAGCAAACGCTTTTAGGAACAGTACCATACCCTTTCTATGCGTTGCAGCGCTCTGACTCGCAGGTAGTTAAAGTTTGATAGTCGCTGTCACCAGCTTTCACGTATGTTCTCAGCGCAGCGCTCCTAGCGTAGCGTCTCTTGCAAAGTAAATATTTCTCTCCAAGTCGATTATCAAAGTAAAACTGATGGATTCTAATAATTCAGGTATGTATCTATAAATTGTGATATAATACTTCCTATTTAAATATAGATTCAAACATTTTTTAATCATTTAAATACAACAGGTTTTTCATGCAAAATTTTGGCAAATCGAAGATTTCTAAACATTTTTAAAATACTTCAGGGTTCGTCCCTAATATTTTTTTTGTTTTAATAAATTTGACATGGTCTTAACATATTATTACAGAAAAAATCAGCCGCGGAATCTCGCAGATGACCACAAAAACGTAAATCAAAGATTTTTAAGGAAATTTTAAAAATAATACACAAAAAATGGACTGGTACTGTTCCTAATCTCACCGATTCAATTGTAATTATTAAATGATGTATGTACACTTATAATAAAAGCTACAATGTAATTAGATAAGTATATTGCTCCTATTTCAATAACGAAATTAGAATTTGCATTTATGTAATACTAGTATCGCTTCTTTTTTTCATAGTTTTATTAAATATTATTGAATTTTAAAAGGAATATTTTTTTATATTTTAAACTCTATTAAAACCCTATTTCGAACATGTCTGAACGAAAAAATATTTTTGGCCGCCTAAATTAATTAAATCTACGTATGTGCAGCGGTTGTTAATATAACGACCGTTGGACATAGGTTTATGATTAATACGTTAAATCAATAAACAACGTACATAGATATATGAAATCATGTTATTATCATTATAAACGGTAGACATTAGTTTATGATTATTTTACATTGAATCAATAAACAGTTACCATAGATCTATGATCCCCTATAGTATTAATACTATACGAATACGAACAAAAAGGCATTAGTTTATGATTTACTTAAATTTACATAAAATCCAATTAAAATTATTTGCCAAATTTACTTACCTTTTTATTTAAAATAAAGGTTTACTGGGTAGGTGGGTGCATTTTTTTAGCAACATAGAAATAGGAAAAAAATATCTTACACAAATTACCCAGCAATCAATCACAAAAGGGGTTTCTTTAAAATAAAGACGTTTTTGGCGAATACATTTTTTATTGCACGAGAAATTTACAAATAATATGAACCTTTGGGCTCTAAAGAGGTTTACAAAATGCTCTATCTAAAAAGTTCCAAAACATGCTTTCCTGTAAA